CCTCCATGACGTATCATAATATAATTAAAACATTGTTTGAATTTTTCAAATAACTGTACTTTAAAAAGTGACTTTTTAATTCAAGGTAATTGCCACAGCACTTCTTCTTTTCGCTCTTCTTTTTTACATGACATTAATTTGTAAATCGTGGTCTTCTCAAATGAATTCGGAAAAGTATAAAAATTGACACATTCATGACACTGATCAGTCTCTGGTCTCTTTTCATTTTCTCATCGTTTTACTTAACTGTGGACACAATTGTTCTTGCAATAAACTAGGTTTACACGCTAGTGCTGCTTAGTTTTGTGCTGTTTTACCTTGAATTATGCAGAGATTTTTGTAATTATTAATTGAATTCTTGGAGAAAGCACCGTAGACTTCCCAGTTTCATGTTTAACCAAACAAATATTTGCCTGTAGTCATGCAAGAACATTGTGGAACTGCTATCTCACCAAAACATCCTGTTGGAAAGAGGCCAATTAGAGTTCGAGTCCTGTTACTGGATGGGCGTCTGGAAAATTTCATATTATCTGTAAGTCACTTTAATGCAGTTTATATTTTAGTCTCACATATTCAAAGCTTGTGCACGCGAATTTATATTCCATTTCGTTCTTATGTTATGTAAAAAACTAAGGGTCTTCTTGTGTTTTAGCCACGATGTCCCGGTCAAGAATTTTTTGATTTGGTCGTTCAATCAATACAGTTGGAAGACACCGATTACTTTGATTTAGAATATGAAGATGCAATGGGGAACAAGGTTGCACTTACAATTTTAAGTGATGTATTTTTTGCAAATGCTTTTGCATGACAAGATTGAAGTAACTTATAGATCCTACGAATGATTTTGAATGCGTGTCTTCCTATAACATTGCATCTGACAAATGGATGATTTCAGCATTGTCGCCGTTTAAACGCTTTTAATCGGCCACTTAGCACTTTTAAATTGTGCCAAATACTGCCTCGTCTCCTTTGCGCCCGAGATTAGTATTGCATGAATACTTTTACTATGGTTTGACTTGCGCCAACCCTGCCGCTCATAACCAACATAATGTAATTTTTCAGTGTTGGCTCGATCATTTTAAGCCTATCTACAAGCCTGTTTCACAAATGCTTCGAAAGCCAGCTCAATTTTCGTTCAAGGTGAAGTTTTATACTACACATCTTAATCTCCTCACGAACAAGTTGACCAGGTACGTAACAGTTACGCGTGTGTAAGGTACTTAGCTTATCGTTTTATATCATTGCCTGGTTTTTATTGCAACTAAAGTCTCTTTGTTTGTTGTATTTCTGAACCCAACCCAATGCTCTCATTGCAGGATAAAGCAAATCACTTTCCCCTTTATTTAAAACTGAAAAGTTTAATCTTCGCAAAGGCTCAAGGGACCATATTTAACCCATTGCTATGCCGCATTAGGGATTTTGTCAACTCTTAGGTTTATAAAGAATTTAGTGTTTTTTTTGCCATTTGAATTTTGTACGAGATATAGATTCTCTCTAAGCACCACCCGAGTTTTACAAAACTGTCTTCGGCAAAATAAATCAACTGTGACTGGCAGTTGTGCAGTTTGGGTACAGTCTTCGCGTCTCTTGAATCATCGTTTGCTTAAACAAAGAGCTGTAGCAATAACCTTTATTTTTATTTTCATCCTAGTCTCGTTGTAGGCGAGGGTTGAATCTGAATTTCGAAGTCCAACTCATGACAGTTAAATGCTGTTGCATAATAATTGAACCGTTTCGCAAAACTATACTTCGAAAACTTTTGCTATCTGGCTTGATTCTACTCAAAAACTACATCAAGTTCATTGACTTTTGATATCGGATTTTAATGTTAGCACTGTCAAGTCTCCCGTTAAGGCGGGAAAACTATAATTGTCCAAAATATCATCAAATCAGCTGCATTCGATTGAGACAGAAAGGAGATGGGATGAACTCAAGTTAACACTTTCATCACTCAAGTTTTTTTCCAATCCAAACTTCTGGATCTAAAATTTTTACCGTTATTTAGTGAGTTTTGCGATTCTTAATTCTTGTTAATTTTTTTACCTTTGTCAGGATATTTGTCAAGCACGTCAACCGAAGATATGGCCTAAAGGTTTACGGAATTCAAAGCTATATTTTGTCATGCTTGAACTTTGTTGAATGGGTTGTTGCGTTAAAATACTCAACTTTGTCTGATTCCAATTTTGGTCCCATTTTTCGTACCGCTAAGGATAGTTCTCAGCCACTTTTGTTTAGTTAAAATACATTTAGCTAATACTAGGAGATACTAGAAAAGGATCGCTAGAAATGTTGATCATGATATGGGTGCCTCTATCGAATCTTTTTCCGCCTAATTTTATTACGTTCTTTGCCCTTGGAAACGAATGTTTACACTTTTCACAATTATCTGATATGCTCTTCTTAATAATTGTCCACTTTATGTCATTTATTAGAAAGCGCTTGAGCTTACTTTTCGTTCATTCATCAGCATCTTTTTCATTTGGCTGTACAGACGGTTATTTGCTCTGCAAGTGAAAAAAGATTTAATTGATGGAGAGCTAAACTGCGGCGAGAATACTGCTGCACTTCTAACGGCTTTCGTTCTTCAAGGTAAGCATAAAACCGCTGAATCGTCTCATTTCATTGATCTCTACACTCATCGGAGCTTTCGAAACAGACATTGCTTCTTTAAATGACTCTTGAGTTGCCACAAGGCTGCAACTTACCTGTATCGAACGTTTACTTATGATTGTATAGGCGTTCTCAAGTCCTGTTTTTTCTTCTTTGGCACCTTAGTATGTGTCTCGAGTTCTAGTTCCAATGGCTTTTTCTACCGTCTTCGGTACTCAAACAGATCAACGAGATTACAGACGTTTTGTGCTAAGTACTGATTAGAGAAGACGAATGCATGAGGATGTGTAGCCTTATAGGGGAGCGTTGCTGCGAATTGCCTAAAACTTAACATTAATTGTTTATTTCTCAAGTTTATGATTCTCCTTACTAAACAATCATCTCGCCTTTAAGAAGACCAAATTGCACTTTAAGGTTACGTTCGCCGTCTCAAAACCGGATTCGAACCTTAATATCCAACAAATGTTTGCATTCTCCGTAAATTTGGTTCTATTATTGTTAATTGTTTGTTCTGTGGAGTGAGCAGTTGTAGTCCCAAATACAACTTGCAAAACAATATTCTTTTCAAGCCAGTCCTAAAGTGTTTATCATTGTTACTAGAAAAGAAGGATGTCTCCCAAAGGCAAATCCTCTGCGGCACATATTGACGTGTGCCTAAAAGCGGTTTTGGCATAAGTCATTTAAAACTGTCCCAGTCATTGGCACCGCACAATATTTATGTTGTTCTCTAAGTTTTTAAACAACGTTTACTTGTAACCTTTCCGTTTTGACACGCTTCATGTATCCATTTAAAACCATTCTTTCTTTAATTTGAGATAGGGATTTGCAATATTTGTTCATACCTTCTGAACAATATTTCTTCCAATCAAAATAAAATGTTGAATGCAATTTCGTAACGTAAAACCGAAGGATTTTTACTTGTATGCGATCATTAATTACTCGGAAAAATTCATTGGTGTCCCTCTAGCGTAGGTGACGATGTTAGATCACTTGAAGACATGTTGTTTTTCCCATATGAAAATCCATTGTTTTTCCTCATAATGGGAATCCTTTCTTTTTCTACTAGAAGCGTTCTATCTGCGTACGCAAGTGCATCCTTGTCAGGCGATCTTCCTTATATGTTGAATCAAAATCTCCTTTAGTCTAGCCAAACTAGACTCCTCCTAGCGTCAGTTATTGTTGATCCTCATAGATTTAAAACTTCGAATGCATAAGTACCCCCATAAATTGCCTTTTTTACCCAAGCAATCACGAACTGAAAAGCTTTAGTTCCTGACTGTATACTAACCGCACCTGAGGTAATTTTTCCATTTGTATCCTCAATACCAATGGTTTTTTTCCGTTTTGATGCAGCCGAGTTGGGGGACCGGGAGGAAGAAGATAGGCGTGTACTAAGTTACTTGGAGAATATACGACTGGGCAAGCAGTACTCTCCTGCCTTCATATCCAAAGTGGTAGACTTGCACAGTAACCTAGAGTAATTGATCCTCTAGGCTTTTTGCTGTTACTCGCTGAAATAAGCTCTTGGTGTTTGCTGGTTGCACTGATTGCACTTGCTATTAATACGTTTTTTTTGAAGATGTTCCTTTAAACTCAGAATGGATCTGCACCCATCCAATTACCCCTTAGATTTTGATCTTTTAGAGATTTTCTTCCATTTTTGAAATTGGTGAAAACTGCATGCCTTGCATTTCTACTACAATTCATCTACCGCCGCACCGCCTAGCCTTTTCCTTTCAAATGACATTTCACCTTCGAGGAGCAGCTTTTGTTTTATGGCATCTTTTTATTCGTTGGAAAACCTAGAAAACAAAGAGCATAGCATTCTGTAAATGTGGAGTTTTAAATTTTAAACGTTCCTTATTAAAAGTGAATTCATTTCCTCATTTTGTAATATTGTATATTTACTAAAGGATCCTTATATCTATCAGCATACTAAACAAATATCGAATTCATAATAATTAGACGATTGCCTACTATTCGGTTTGCCTCGTTGAGGCTCCAATGCTTCTGGGATCCCTTTAACCTTAGTTGGCGTTGGGAACTCCACGGCGTGAGACCCCATTCTGCGGCAATTTTGGAATTTTAACGTGGTGTTTTATGACTAACTGGATGCTTTTGCAGTATTTTGGGGCTCAAATTTATGGCCAAGCTGTAATGGATGTGTTTCAACTTTGCTGCTTCGCAAAAGTAAAGCGTCACCCACTTATCGTAGAAATTTATTTGGTCATTAATTTTGCATGTGTTATACCTAAGTTTGCCCCAAACGCGTAATATTTTAACATCAATAAGTCATTCATTTACTTTTACAGAAAGTGGATTTTGCTTATTTTATGTTTATTTTAATCACTTAGACTTGGAATGATATTGCTTTTCTAATATTTAGAGGGATGTCCGAAGGTGAATCGGATTACCGCCTTTTGGACGCGGCAAGAAAACTGGAGTTCTATGGTTTGAAGCTTCATCCCGCCAGGGTAATGTCCCCGTAGTTCATTGTGGCTGCTGGCTTTGCAGTGATTAACGCTCTAGCATCCAAGTTGGCACATTATTATTGTATACTGCCTTTCGAGTAGGGCTAGTCTCGAGCTAACCAAAACCATTCTGGTCGTGCCACACAGGCAGAATGAATCTTCAGGTTTTTTGAGGGTGAATGCACACTAGCGCAAATATCTTTGGAAATGAATAAATTGAGCGTTGTCCCATAATGAAGTTTTGGTTGTACTTGTTTGTTTGCTTGCCAGCAAATATTCATTCAAGGCTGCAGAGCGTGTTTTTGATGCGCAATTTATAGTCGGTACCGTTTACCGCCATGCCCTCGACTATGACTCCATGGCCTCCTCAATGTTGCTGAACTCTCGTAAATGCTATCCAAATGATTAGCCATCTCGATAATCACAAACTCTTTCGTTGCTTAATTTAACTAGTCATGTGTCTGACATTATCATGAATTGTGCGTTGCACAAGGCCTGATGTCTGTTAACACATTGTTTAGCTGTTAACAAATAATAAGTGCATATATATTGAGGAACTAGTGTTTTTACGTGTGTGTACTTCAGTTGATTGTGCGAGTCAGCACTTCTTTTAACTCTCAAAGCATAACTTTTTCACCAACGCATCTTTGAAGTTCTATTGACGAAATTCCTCTCCGTAAAATCGTTTTCGGAATAGTCGCAATAGAAAAGCCAACCTTTGCTACATTATGAGTGTCTTAGGTGGGTGACCCATCCTATTCGCCGTCACTCTCCACAAAATCGTTTGCTTCTAAATTTGTAAATGCCGTTTTCGTTGGGGTTGTTTCCACACAATCCAAGGACATTTTAATATGGTAATTACATATTTTTTGCATTGTAATACTTCATGTACAATGAAATAGGCTTTAAAACAGCTGCCACAGCGACGGACTATTTGGGTAACTTTCTACCGATTGGACTTTTATCATTATCAGTCAGCTTCTACGTTTAACGCATTCGGTATAATATCCTTTCTCAAGGCGCCACAAAGTACTTAAACTTTACACAAACCCATTCCCAAAGTGCCTGGTTTGTTCGACAATGGGCATTCCTGAGCATATTACGCAGTAACTTTGACCTCGATATATTCAACTTTAGTATATAATGCGTTACCATATAGGTGATTAGGGCAAGGAGGTAATTTACACAGCGTTTGTTCTTGAAAACTATTCATTTACCCTAACATTCTTTAGCATTTGCTTCCATTTCAGGAGAACGGTGGGATCCTTCTCAATTTGGGCGTTACGCATGCGGGTCTTTTTCTCTACCAGGGCAAAAACAAGTTGAATCATTTTAGCTGGTCAAAGATACGCAAGCTCAGTTTCAAACGTTCCAAATTTCTCATAAAATTACATTCTGGAATAGAAGTGAGCTACTCGCTATGACTTCTTAAACTAGCACTTCTTGCTGCAATGTCTATCATTACCTCAAGGCACCTTATTTTCTAATTTATCACCTACCCTCAGTTGACGTTCTACTGACTCCATGTATAAATGAACCTCATTTCTTACCACCTTTTGGTATGCTGTTGTTGCAGAAATGTTCAAGCGTTGGTACCTTGCCAACATGAGTATATTTTTAAAACATCCTGCTGATATGACAACTTCTGGTGGTCCGTGGCCAATGATAACATAGGGACGAGTGAAAGCATTAGTGACAATGTTGTCTTTTTGTTAAATGATGGGCAAAGACCACTTAGTATTTTCTGCTTATTATCTGTGTATTTTTGAGTGATTTGCTACTGCGTCACAGTAACTACATGTACGATTATCATAGTTTGGTTTGAGTCTGCATCATTAGATAACAACGTACCCTAGGGGACCTCAAAGTGCATTAGCCGTCCGACTTTAATAGAGGAACGCTTTCAGTGACCCAATCGACATGAATTTGTGTAGTTTTCCATCCAATCCCGAGGAGATTATTTGTAATTTTAGGAAACTCATTCAAGCAATCTGATCATGATTGAAAGGTTCATCCCATACTATGAGTGTAGAGCCCCATTTCAAACGGTTGTATTGTAATCCTAGTTAGTTTAATGTCGCTTAAGATGCCATTGGCTCCCGATCAGTGTTTTTCTCTTACTTTCTGAATAAGCCTTTTGGGAAGGACACAATTGAGTTCAACTTCGAAAGTCGAGACGCATGCAAAAACTTTTGGAAGAAGTGCCTTGAGCATCATGCCTTCTTCCGGTCCCGGGAGATGCGTGGAGAGCCAGGCGCAGGAGGTGGGGGAGTGGGAGGATTCGGGTCGGGAATATGGAGCTCAACTGCACCTCCTGCCCACCCCTATGCCTCACAGCCAACCCTTCGCTTCGCCGAGGACGCCGGAAGTAAAAGTAGCAGTCGAGGGCTCACTCGTAGTGCTAGTCTCAAAAGTGGTCGAAGTCAGGGTCTATTTAGCAAAGGATCATCCTACAGGTAGCTATTAACGCTCTTCGTTTCTTTCATTGGCTTTGTATTGCACTAGGCTGGTGCATAAGGTGTCATTTATAGTCATTTATGTTCAAGCGGATATGTACATATGTGTTAAGGCTCACTCTCAAAGGAGTTACATCTACAGCCTCTCTTTTACAGGATGCGCATTTATTCTTTTGACGTCATATGACATTAGGTTTTGTAATGTTGGGCTTTGCTGCAAAATAATCAGCATCACAATGTATTCCACGGCAGTGTCCGTCAATTTTTTTAAGCCGAGCGTCTATAGTACTCAAACTGCTTGATATCTTCACAGCCCTCTTGAAATAGGGCTACAAATTTTAAATATTTGAGATTTTACTCCCGAGTGTCTTTTTTCTTAACCGAGCCAGCAGCGCTAATTTTTTGTCATTATTCGTTATGTAGTTAAACAGTGAGAGGAAGGAAAATCGCTTGTCAAGTTGGTAATTTTGTGTCATTTTTGCATTGTCTGATTAGGCTTCTTTTATTTTGACGCATCGCCCTTAGATTAACCACATTCACTTCAAATTTGCAGTCCAGTGCATCGTTTGTCAGCGGATTAATGCAAATCATAGCATTGTTTACTTTGCATTAAATTTGCCCAAACATTTATGTACTTCACAAAACTCCGGCCTTGCAAACCGCATAAGCAGTAAAATCAAAACTTGTTACCGTAGTCTTTCAGTAAGAGTCTCTTCAGTTAACTTTCTTTAATAAAATATCGAATGTTATAGAAGTTAGCCATCTTTTCGTAAAAGCACTTGTTCATGGAAGCTTGCAAAGATTTTTGAAAAACACAGCCAGAAAATTTTCGCACATCCTATTGTTGATCACCGCAACTACTTCACTTCAACGATTGGCTAAAGTAAAATATCCTCACGGGTGTGAAGGCATAAGTAAGCTTTGGATCAGACCTATAAATGTCGCTCGAAAGCATTGAAGTAGGTCGTAGTTATCAGTTGGCTGTGCACACACTTCGGTATGCGTTCCAAGAAATTGCAAGTGCTGAAGATAAAAAAATTGTCAGTGTGCACACGTTTTGTCACATTTTATTTGTAAATTGTTTATTTTCTCGCCAAAGCGGTTTACTTTTATTTTTAAAAGCGTTTGATAGTGCAACTCTTGACCAAGCATGCTCATTTTCTGTGATTTGCCGAATTTAGCTGTATTTACCGTTCTATTTTGATCCTCAGATTACTATGGACTTCATTTTTATGTGTAGATATTGCGGTAGAACACAGCAGCAGCTGATAGAAAGCTCTTACAATTCCAGTCCAAGAATCATGTCTTCGGAAAAGTAAGTTATAGTCTGAGAATTTGACAGTTGAACTGCATTAGAAGTCTACCTTCACACTCTTCCCCATATTCTAGGCGGTCAAAGTCAGTGGGTCGCCTTGGTTCAGGCCAGAACATTAGTTGCCTTGGCTCATCGCATCTTCATCGCAGTATCGCTCATGTTGATGAAAAACATGAAGATGACCTCCCAAGAATGCTACAACATCAACAGTGTCTCTTTAGAGGTAGCAGCTCAAGCACAGTGGCTGCTGACTTTGGTCCTCCAACAATCAGTCTTCCGGATCACTATCAACTCCTTTTTCTCTCCACACCCATTCGAAGGCCACTTTCTACCAGGTAATTTTCAGTGTTGCTCATTATCAATCCTACATCTTTCATCGTTAATTTGTCAAGTAAGGAAACGGCATTCCTAAGCAGTGCCCTATTTCGCTCCGGAACTCATCTAGTTTACCGAATTCATGGTTGAATAGCTATACAAACGTCCTCTGAAGGACCGTACTGGGCTCCTCACTATGCAAAACAGATGGGCAGAGTCCTCGTTTTTGCTGGAAAATCATTCTAAGCTTAATTTCTTAAGTTAGCTAACAGAACCAAGCGTGTCTTCCAAAACGACGGCACTTCAATTATGCACGAGCTTTTTTTTTTATTCTGATAGCTATATCTTCACAAACATCTTTCTTATCGTAAAAAGTGAATTTTGAACTAGGGTGGAGCGTACGATTGCCTTTAAAGCGTTCGCTACTATAACAATTTCCTTCAAACATACTGACCTTTTTTTGCGAATGCAACTTCAAAATATCGTCTCTGCAACCAGGATCCATACACATGGCAGGAAGGATACGTTATTTGCAAGTTTCAGTGGTCAAATCTGAATGCGGGCTTATGATATTAAGTTTCCCATCCATTCATTTCCCAGATTTGGCTGTACGAAGCATTAGGATCTAATGCGACTGTGTCTGACTATGATACTCGGTGTTGGTTGAGTGGGCACTTGAATCTTGTGGCGAAGTAAAAGCACTTGAATTGCCTCATTTTTATGCATTTTTAAAACGTTGACTATTTTTTGTGGTCCTGATTCTTCATTTATGCTACACAGCTCCTGCTCAAATTCACTGCGCTTTTTCTTTCCATTCTCGATCGTTTAATGGAGGTCTTTGTTATTACCATAGGCGTGAACACTAATTATACGCTGATTAGCTAGACTGAAGTTCTCACGAATAGCGTTTGGATTAAAGGGACGATTGTCTTGCACCCGTCCTTATCTCCGACATCAGATGTGTTTAAGTTGTTTGTCCGTCGTCTCATCGTCAGATTTGTTGGTCAATTTGTGCACGCGACCGAATCACCGGCAAATGTAACCACGACAGTCCATTCGGCAATCCCACTGGGCTTATAATTCTCCAAAAATGAATTGCGTATTCACGCGACTAATTTACCTTGTGTAAACTAAACCTTTTTTCTCCTTCCCCACCTGCAATATAGTTGATTGAGGTAAGGTTATATCCTGAATCACTCCCATATTTTTTCACCTGGTGACCCACCAAGGAAGAAGTTTGAGTTCTTCGTTGAATTCTTCTATTACACTAAAGCAAATGGTAATGGATAAGCTGATTTGGCTAAAGTAAGATGATATACTTATACTTATCCACCCACTTGGTAATTCGAGCAATATTAACTGCTTTACCTAACAGACATGCTTTGGTTGAGGTAAAATGCAATAAGTTTAGTTGGTGTGTTAGCAATAAATTCACCATCCTATGTGATAGATGTACCGGAATGCCCCTTGGGTGAGTTTCATGATCGACCAACTTCGAATCGCTTAATCGGTGGCCAGAAATTAGGGTGCCTACTTTAATGTTACTTTATTGGCAAATTGTAAGTAGTTTGGTGACATCAGATTGCTTTTAGAGAAATTTCGACTTAGTTAAGGTTAAATAATAATGACCGAATCTAGCAAGTAAAAAGCATGTAACCCTATTTTAGAGACTAGTCTGTTGTCAAAAGGTCGGAATAGGGTGGGTGAATCAAATAACGTTTGATAAAACAAAACTGATTTCACTCATTGCATCGGAAATTGCACTCACTGTAAATAACTCGTTTAGGACTTTTCATTTATGTTTATACGATTTAAACCCCTATCAAGTAGGTTGGTTTTGCTTGCTATTTTTTAAACATTTCTTCAATAAAAATACCACTGCAAGGTATGTTGAATACTGATTTCAGAGAACAATCAACTCTCAGGGGATTCAGAGCTTTGACTGGTGCTGTGCAAAAAAGTTAGTGCTAAAGTGTGTAAACATCCTAACACCGAGATCATCCTACTCAGGATTCAATGGCCTAAGCCCTACCAATCCGTTTATGAAACGATTTTGCATAATTGGGCATCATTAACCAGTAACCAACTCGGAGCATCAGCCAGCCTCAAACATGAAAACCACTTTTAGATTCAGACAGGATGGTATCAGCAATAGTTTTTGAACCGTTATTTTTACGATTTTTTTTTCGTGCACCGCAGATATCGCACCGGGAGTTCTCACTCGGTGGATCAGAGTAGTTTGCCTACTGAAAGTCCTTGTAAGGTTGGACCTCAGCTACTGGAGGCCGACTACGGAGCCGGTGTGCCTCGTGTGTTCTCTGTCAACGTACTTAAAGGCCCCAAAAGAAAACGCGAATCTGGTAGTCTGACTAACACCTCCTCTCCCGCTGTCACCGCCGTAGCTGCCAGGCCCTCAGATGCTGAGTCAATTACTAAATGTGTGTGCATCGGCAGGGGTATTTTACTTATTTTCCACTAAATTTTGCAAGGAACTCTGTAGGAAAGAGTGGTATATTTACATTACCAACTTGATTTCCAGATAGCCTTTCAACCGGCTCCCGACCATCTATTGCATCGGCACTTACGTCCGGTAGCCTCCCTTATGCCCTCAATGAAAAATGTGCAGAAAAACCCACAAAGGAGTCCTATAGTGAGAAGTACAAGAATAAGAGCAGCGAAATTCCCACTCTCCCTGGTGCTTCGTCTTCGGAAGAGTTTGTATCTGGACCTGTATGTACCTGACATTTGCATCAAAATTGACTAGTTTTAAGCTGATAGGTTATAACTCTTTTTAGTGGCTGTTCTTGCGCTTTATCGTATTCATTTATACATTTTTTGTGCATGTGGAGTAACTTGAATGGTCTTTGTATTTTGCTAAGACCACTAATATATACTTATTTCCGCGTTTTAAAATCAATCAACTTGGAGTTTATTCATAACATCAACAGAGGTTCATGTTAGTAGTCTAGGGCCAAAGCCCAACTGAATGTTCTCCATGCACATTATCTTATCTGTTTGGCTTGGTTATCCCTTCTCCCCCCTAAATTATCTCTGCCAGTGATATTGACTGAGTGTATACATAGCATACGTAGCAGCACTAAATTATGAATTTCATAAAGCTCAGGCAAAGCGTTACTTTGAACCGTAACGCTGGAAATAGGATGTCAAGTTGGGAGACTTTGGAAGCTGCGTAACGTTACAAATTTTATGTAATGAAACTCTGCAATCTGTTTAGATAGATTGACAGGATCTATTATTTTTTTGAGTTGAAGGGATTGTTTTCTCCTGACTGTTTGTGGACCTTTTTTATTCCTCACGCACCTGTGTACGAACTTCAATCTTATCCGTTTCTTCATTCTAAAGACCTCTTCCAATGAACCCCCAACTTCAGCCTCATCCACAACCACACATGACTTACTCACGCTAGGTCAGCGTGGTCGTGCCTTCTCCGCCTTTGAGGAGAGCTCTCAGCGCTCGACTTCACTTCCTCCTGAACACTACGACGAGGTGGCCGAGGATGAAGATGACGATTACGATAATGAAGATACCAATGCTGATAGAGCAGGTCTGTCAGACGACTCCCTTTTGCAGCATCCGCTTTCTGTGTGCGCCTCCCGCGCTGTTTCCTCTAGCGATCTTTACAGGTCGGAGTCAATCGACTTTCAATACCCAGTTTGCAAACTTGACGATCCAAACTCACCATTGGATCCGGAACTTGAAAATGGGTTAGGAGTCTACCAAAGACCTTCTGTTGGTCTTTTTTTAAGTGTCTCGTTTTGTTTATTTGCTGATATAGGCATTTCATTTGTTCAATAGTTACCCTTGTGCAATCGTTACTATTTTGATAATATTATTAGCTGGGTTGCATTTAATGCTTATGCATATTTTTAATTTTTTAGAAAGAAAACAATTGAAGTCTCTATCTTTTCACCTTTTGCTCAAGAAAGCCCGCCGGATAAGGTACGCTGTTAACGAATTTTCTTGCATCACCTGAGTCATCATTGAATTGCAGTTTGAATGGCGTCTCAATCGCTTTCCTCTTGACCTGGCCAGAGGATTTATTGTTTCAGTTTGATGCAATATACGTTATCCAAGCTTTCAATGTGATCTCTGTAACTTCTTCGGCATTGTTCGGGCAATTTTAATGAGGATGTCGTCCTTGTCCTTCCGAGGGCATGCAATGATGAAACGCATAATAGTGTCGGGGCTTATCATTTTATTTGGTACTTCATCCATCCATTAGTCTACTGCTCCAATTCATAAATATTATGCTCTTGTTTAGAAAACGGAAAACTGTAGCAGATATCTGGATGTTTATAGCACATGTCCTTCTGTTTCACTTTGGTATCTGGGGTTTCCAATGTTGATGAAAGGATGTACTAGATCACACAATCCCTCATTATGAAATGTCTGTATTTCCTAAGAAACTTGTGGGCTGCCAAATTGTTGACTTGGAGCTTTTCAGGGCTGAATTGGTTCATTTTTGCATTTTACCAGTTATTAACATTTTATAGCTTGCTTATGGCAAAAAATAGATAGGGATAGATAGTCATCACTATTCCAGAGTGACATTTGCAAACTCATAAGAGGAGCATTTCCCTTCCACTGCGTGGCAACTCCATGCTTCTCAACTCCCACTTTTGGTTAAACTTATGCCTTATCAAGGCGTAATGCTTAGAGGTACAATCATGTCCCTTGCGTATCACAATCGATGTTCACCTTTAAGTTTACTATGCGTATTTCTAGTGCCCTTTTATGTCGCATGTGTTGAAAAGTGCTTCAGCCTTGCCAATGATCCCCCTTCATCTAGTTTGACTTGATCCAACAGCTAGCCTTTTGGGAACTGTCTGACACCTAATCCAGATCCAATTATAAAATTTCTCATCGACATTTGATCTGTGCCTTCTTGTCCAGTCGTAACGGGAATAACTTTTTTGCATTGTTTCAGTCGCTTACTAGTTCATTAGGATCTAAGATTATTATTTTAAAAATTGAACAATTCCTTTGGATTTGCAATCTAAAACAAGTGTATAATTACTACTCCTTTCTTGGGAGGGATCTTGTTCAACTCATTCGTTTGTGCTCCTCTTAATGCTATATTAATATTTTAAGTTGCTTAATTCCTTTGAGAATGCTAAATGTTATTGTCCTAGTTGCATACTTCCAGGGTCCTGATGTCACTAAACTTGTATTTTTTGGTCACTGATGTGCTCAATCTAATTTGTAAATAACATCTCAGCATGATTTAATTCGTCCGGTATACTGCTATAAGAGGACAGCCAAGAAAGTGGCTTTTGATTCAACTGTTAAAGGAAATTATCAGTTAAAAACATTTGATGTGGAAATTCGTGCTTTCTTCCACTTAAAACTTCATCCAAATTTAGCAAACGAAGTCTGGTGACCGATAGTTCACCATCAATATCAAAGTTAACTGCCTTATGCTACTGGCTAATTACTAAAGGGCAAAATACCTTTCAGATTGACCCCTATGGCTCTCTTTGCTACCCTTCGAAAAGTGCTCCTGCCAGCAGACGTGCTTCAAATTACTCAACTCATGACGAAGAATTTGACGGAGAAGATCCTATGGAGCCTTGTAGCCTCGCTCCTGCTCTTTCAATTGGTGCAATCTCCGCCATCACAGGTGTTTCTTGTTTCGATGATGAAGAAGGTGGCGAGAGTAGTGGAGGAGATGGAGGAGGCATTGGCACTTACGAAAGCAAAGATGACGGAAAAAGGGAAGCAATGTCTCTCGTCTCTGGACCCTCATCTCCAGCCGTCGACACGCTTTCCTCCCTAACAGGGCAGAGGGCGCAATCGGAGCCACTCCAAACAGCACCTTCGGTGTCTGAAGATTTGCATGTAGAGATCGAATCTCAGACTTCAAACCAAACACGTCGGCAGCGGTTGAGACGAAGGAGAACACGGAAGCGTGAGCTGAGAAGTGGATTCGATTATCTCACTTATGATGCTCTAACCACAACGTTTCAGCAGCATACTTTGACAATGACAGCTAATCCCGCGTCAAGAACACTTCGGAAGGTGAGTGCAGTCTCAAAATTTAACGCCATTTAATGATTGAACAATTGCTCAAAATCACACAGTAGCATATATCTTGTGAATCGGGTGTTTTTGTGAACATGATTTTGATTAAAGTAACCTACACATTTTGGTAAACAAGCATCTTTCTAAGGATTTCCTCCGTAAACCATAACTAGGTCACAACAGTTATTAAATTATAGATTGTCCGGTTTCACAAAATCACCTCTGTGTAACACTTTGTCCAGCTTCTATTCTCTTCCACTGGATTTGCTTACTGTTTGAACTTTTCCCACTTCCATAGAGCACGCTCATGCGAGCCGGTATACGTGATTGTCTGAAGTCTTTTTTTGTACATTTGATTTGGTTCGTCAGTAAACCACTTTTAGGTTTTCGAACTGTAAAACCGACCACACAATCAAAAAGACGGATGCTCTTTTGTTTTAGTATTGATTAGAGACCACCCTTCTTGCAACTTTACTCTGCAAAATATCCAATCATTAATATTAGTCTCCGTAAACCGAAATTCTCAATTGTAGTAAACCGATTATGTTAACATTGTTGGAAGCTAACGTTGAATTGCCATTTGCTGCTTTTAGAAATCGGTACCTCCTTACCACGACCGTACATTCCAACTGGCGAAGGAGCTTTCAGTAACTGAGAAGACCTACACTAATGCTCTGCGATTGCTCATCATGGCGAGTCCTTTTATCTCTGCACTTTTGAGCTATTAGACGAGGAAGTAATTGTAATGTAGCGCCCCATGATCACCTTACAGGCGAAAAACGATAATGCTCAAACACACCATGTATGCGTTTGAAATAAAGAGACTTGCGACTGCTGACATATCTCAGAGACCATTTTACCACTCATCCCAGTTACCACAAATTGGTTGATGCTATGAGTTCATATTAAGTCCAAACTAAGTTATAGGAACACTCGCCCACAAAGCGGAATCATTTAGCATAAGCCAGGGTTGAACAAGTTCCCGTACGATTGACGTGGTATTCGCATTTTTTTCCCCTCTTACCACATTCTCATTACTTCAGACCTGTTCCACAATATCCGCATGGATTTCACTCTTCCGGTACTGAGATAAAGGTATTGCGAATTCACATGGCTAAAATGGGTTCCGTAGACCGCTCCGCGATAAAATTTTCAGGATAAATCGTGGAGCTGGTGTAGTTACCTGAAGGTAGGCATCGTTTTCAACCCTCTCTTTAATGGATCATTAACGTTGAGAGTTGACAGGCTCGATTTCCGTCGCCACTAATACAAGAACCCGAAATTCCTCCGAACTGAAAGAATATATGCCTTGGAGGAATCGGTATTGTTGGCATACAGAAAGGCTTGGAGTTACTGGCACGACCCTGGAACGTACTCACCCGGCGGGGCAATTAAGTGGCATTTTTATCAAGACCAGATTGATTAAATGGATAAGGTGGCATACATTTTGAACCAAAGCTGTTATGTGATTTTCGAAGCTGTTTTTTTTACACAAAGCATAAATTCATCCAAATTACATTCGTTAAAAGCCAGGAACAGCAGCAATCTAAATAGTGTTCATCAGATTATCAAGCACGCCTCAAAGAAGAACTAATGTTTTTTGAAAGCATTGTTGTTTAAAATAAGAATAGCCAAAGGTCACTATTACGGTTTCGTTTTCCAAACGATTTCACTGTCATTTAAATTAGTGCTTTTATCAGTTACAGCTCATTTCAAAGCGCATAGGGACTGGTGTTGTAGTAATCTTACGCTTACTCTAACTATAACACTGTCCAATATTGAAATTTGCTTTTGCAGTCTGTAGGAAAGCTTATGCAAACATTCGTTCGCTTAATAAGGCCGAAATTACACTACAAACCCCTTTTTACTGAAAAATTACTGATAAATTTTAGTAACAAGCGATGGAGCGCTGTTAGATCTAAAATGCCATTGCTATAGAGGAGGCTGATTAAGGCAAAGATGGTGATCTAATCTAAGAGTGAATTCCTTCATAGCCCTACCACAGCAATTTCATTCCTGATGGCAACTTCCACACAGAAGTCACTCGTCTGATCACACCACTCCACTGTCACCACTCGGCACTACTGCAGTCAGCGCTGACGAGAGTAGCTGCATGGGAGAAAGCGGCTATCAGTGCAGCCACAGCAAGGACGCGCTTTCAATCCGCTCTTGCCGGCGTGCATAGGGCACAGCGAACCAGGCGCAAACGAGCAGCCAAACAAATCCAGGCGGGCCGGCGGCACAGATCTAAGTGCTCACAGAAAATGGCCAAGGGCAATGGTCGTGGTAACGATCTTGGAGCCAATGAGCTTTCAGACTCTTCAAGCACGTTGCTACCATTTGTTTAGTGTATTTTATGCAACTGGGAGGCATAGATACCGTTTTAGACGTAAACACAACCGTACAATATCATTTGATTGTTTTATGATTTATTATACGCATTTCAATGTCTTAAAACGGTTAGCCTCTGTGAGCGGTGTGCCCCGTTCCTCCTCTCGAAACGAGTTACCACCATCAATCGAGACTAGCCGAAATCAGACTCCGCCTGCGGATGGCTGTAACCTCACAGCTTCTTCATCACCGTCGACATCGTCTTGCTATTCGTCGTCATCATCTCCAGCAATTTCTGACGTGGAAAGAAGTTCTTATCAGCTCGTTGCCCCTCCACCTGACCTTACATCAGCGGAGAGGGAGCTGAGGGAAACAACAAGGTGTCTGGCTGAAATGGCTCGGATCGCAGATGTCTACAGACACCCTCTTTTAGACAGCATTGTGTCACGCTACGAGGACTTACTAGCTGCGCTTCCCGAGCTTCTCAGTAAGTACATCCCACGTTACGTGGAGAACGAGGACTCCGAATGCGTAGCCGGCTATCCTTCCAGACTTGCTTTGTTGAGGGTTCCTGCGCGGCGTTTGTGGTACTATACTCAAGCTTTCCGACGTCTGGCGGAGTTATATGGGGATGAGCACCCAGATTTGGACGATTGCAATGGTATTTCAATAAGTTTAACCAAACAACCCTCTAATGAGTGTCATTTATATTACGTGCGCATAAACAGCATGTCTTCGAATAGCATAATTTAATTTGAAATTTCATTATCTAAATCACTTAACTTATGTTCATATAGTGAAAATAATTTCTAAACTCCTGCATTTAGCTCTGGTCTCGAGGTTGTCGGACTTGATGTCAAGATTTGATTCAGTGTATCGAACAACTGAGGCATATGCCATGGTTGCCGAGTTTTGTCAAGACCATCAAATGGATGCAGTAGAGCGGTCTAGTGTTCATGATCACTGCCGCCCCCGGGAGTGTTCCGTTTCAGTGCTCAGCAGCCTTGTGAACGAACCGCATTCCCGCCTTATTCGCGTTGGCTTTCTCGAGAAGATGTCCTCAAGGGGTCGTGGATTCCAGCCTCGAATGGCTCTGCTTTTCACTGACCGCCTCATCTACTGTGGACGAGTTTCAAGTCCCACGAACATTCAACTGAAGGTACATCATTGCATCAGCTCCTCACATTGTTCCAGGAATTTGATTCCAAACTGATGCGATACTTGTTTGATTACTTGGATCTTTTCTGTGAACTCTGAAACGCAGAACTGAAGACGCGTAAACCTTTGAATGTTTTCGAAATCACAAAAAAATTGGTCTTCATTGTTGGTGCATAATTTCCGCACGAAATAAACCCCATAATGTAATATCCACGGCGCCTTCAACGACACGAGTAGTCTTTTATCGCTTCTGTTGCATCCTTCTTGCACGTATTTCAATCATGCAACTGCCATAATCATAAACATACAGGCTCCTCACGCAGTGACTGGTAAACCTTTAAATTGCATGTTACTAAATCATTTTTTCTGCATTTGGCCTTCGCTTGAGTTACTGCATAAGATTAGAAATGTGCGTTTTCATGGAATTAAATTTCTTTACTGGTTACTTTTTATTTGGCCATTTCCAACAAAAATTTCATTCATGCAAACTTTGCTGCATTTGGTTCCTCAAACATCCATGTCCGATTGTCCATCAATCCCAATTAGACGATTTTACTTAGCACCAACAATGAAAAAATTCCGCACTCAAATGCCACGTCTATAAAAGCTCCACATTGTTACACCTCATCCTTCGTGTTCAAAATTCACTTCGATTCCTAAACATCAGTGTGCAAATGGACGCAGTATTTGCATTCAGAAAAGCCGTGTAGTTAGCGCAGAGCTAAAGTGCCTTCAATGAGACGCGAGGATCCCTTGGGGCAAATCGTTCTGCAAAATGTCAGAACAGTAAAAACGGCGAATCCCGGTAACGTTGGTGTTTCATGTCATGTTTCAATCATTTTTGGTAGACTGAACGCCAGCTCTTCCGCTTCCTCACTAAATTTTGCTTACCTTGATTACCTGGTTCTATTAAAGTGTGGCGCTGTTTAAGAGTGCCGTGACGTGATAATGAGAAGAATCATAGTATGCTTTTTACGGTATGAAATGTAGCATCTGACTAAACCTTAGGGGGTGAATAGGGTCCAAGTGATCTGTTCCGGAATTGCAAGTGCATAGCAAAGTTATTTACTTGTAAGATCAAGTATTTAAGCATATCGTTTACGTAGTCATCGAATAAAATAAGGCTATCAGTCTCAGAATCTTGAAGATAGTGATTGCAACCAAACATTCGACCTATGCTGAATCAGGTGTGAATGCAGTATGATTGAACGGATTTAAGTGCAATTTTTTTCCACTATCTACTTTTCCAGCTGACAGATTTTGTAAATGGCAAAAGTTTTGCGTGGAAAAGCATCAAAAGCTTATGAAAACATACTCAGAATGTCCAAATGTCGCCAGTATTTCAATTAATTGCAGAAAACCTATTAACGTGAATTTGTAGGTAGGGGAAGAAATAACGTCGAGTTTATTCAGATTCTATGACCATAAAAGTCACAACGGCTCAGTTAGCGTAAATGGTCTTTCCCACAATTTATTGCCTGGACTTTCTGCGATTTGAAAGTGAAGTTCAGTACTGCCTTATCAACGTCATAAACGCTATCCCCAGTGTAACATTTTAGTTATTCGCACGTTACACCGCGTGCACCATAAATGTTTTTTTAACCTACAAAACGTTTGCACAAAACAACCTCAGTGAGGTCGAGAGCATGCTCCTTTTCGGAAAAGCTGGCAAACATCTAGCATCTTGCCGCTAGATACACGGTGTGGTGTCTCTTTACAACGCCGGGCTTGAATCTCACATCAAAACCTCAGTCTCATTTTCGGAGGGAATTTCTCGGGAGGGCACCACTGCAAGCCGGAGCTCGAGTAAGGAGCGACACAGCTTTGCGATCCTCGTTTTCTCCGGTGAGAAGGCAGAAAAAGGGCACTCTACTACCAAATCCGTACATTCTCGCACTCATCGCATAGTCTTTGCAGCGCCCAATGAAGAGCAGAAGCGTTTATGGCTGGCGGCTCTGAATAAGGTGCTCGGTTGTGAAAAAAAATTGAATGCGTGCTCCTCTATGGCATCAGTACCTCCGTTGCAGGGTAATAAGTTGTATGCATCTTATTTCTGTTATGCTAAATTACAATACCTGCCATCCAAAATGTAATAGACGAGTCACTGAAAAGAAATATGCTGAAGTTTATAAGCAATCCTTTCACGTAATTATCTATACCACGGCAATATTGTAGACGGAAATATACACGTTTCCGAATATTCGAAACGGACAGAATTGGTACTCTCTTTGTGTGTCCAATTCAAGAGCAAAATGTCATTCTTACTTGCAGTTGTTTGCCCTTAAAAATCGATGCGAACCGGCTGTGGCCTGAATTGTTGTCCACATTAATGAAGAAAAAAGAATTCATTTGGCAAACTATTAATGGATCGCATTTAAAGGCGTCAAACTAACCCAGTTGAAAAAAACAGGAATTTCGAAGCCTGATCGCTCTACCGCTGAGGATCTGTCTCATCCCGTCTTGGAAGCTCTGGAGACGCAGGACGTACAGTCAGACGTGGCTCCCAATAACAAAGACAACCACTTGGGTTTATTGGGACCGAGGTCCCACCTTCAGCAGACAGTGCTGCGCTGCAGCGGTCTCGCATACGTCTGTTGGCATCGAAGACTCAGCGTTTCTCTTGACAACGTACTCAACGCCAATCAGGTGAAGATCCCCGAACCCACATACCGCCTTTTTCTAAGCTGTATTCATGACTCGACTTAATTTGTCAAGCAGTCTTGATCAATCCGTTTGTGAAGTTTACCAAAGTTTGTGAATATTTCTATCCCTACTCCTCCATTTACCTACAAAACTCATTCTCAAACGCAAAGTTGTGTCCATTCCAAGACTATAGTTTCCCCAAAAGTTGATTTCATGAGGCTCATCAACAGTGTAAACAACCATCGACTATGTACACTATGACTTCTGGCACCTCACGTTCTTAGCCTTATTAATAAGTTACATAGCATGTGCAAGTATGATTGCGACAAGTTTAATTTAACTACACAACTGCACGTCAAATTGAGTTCGACTTTGTTTAACTTTCAGTGCGAAATAAGCGGATACCTATTACGAAAGTTCAAAACCAGCTGCGGTTGGCAAAAATTATGGACAGTGTTTACCGACTTTACACTTTTTTTCTACAAAACTCCGGATGATTTTACTCCGATTGCCAGTCTCCCCCTGCTGGGCTATCGCCTTGAGTCAGCACGACCAGCAGCCGACGCTCAACTTCACAGGTCAGATGTTCTTCAGCTGACCTACAAATCTCATGTATATTACTTCAGGACTGATGCTCCCGTCTCTTTCGAAAGGTATGGCAGACATTTTCTTGCTCACTGAATTCTAACAAACACGATCGCAGCCTAAACGGGTATTGAGGCATTACTTTTGTTTCTCTACTAAACTTTAAATGGCTTGATTCGTTGCACATCTTGTTGCAGTTTCTTCATGAGTTTTTTCGCCTGATGAGGAGCAGTAGTATAACATAGTGCTAACCTACTGTACCGTCGGACCTTCTTTCAGTTCCCCTTAAGTATTCCTGTCTTTACGCAGCAAGAACCCGGTATCAATCACCATTGTTTGCTCGATCAGTTAACTTGTCTGTGTGTATCGCTCGTGGACTTCACTTTTGAAAAAATAAATCGCGTTCCATATCTATTCTTCTTTTTAGGTGGTACAGTGCATTGTCCTCCGCATTGAATCCCTTGTCAACCGACAAAAAATAATGTTCGCTTTACCTTACTCCTCTGGAGACACTCGACAGTTTTATGTGCAATATGCCGCTGATCTGTAATGTAACCATACCTATTCACTCCAAATCCATTCCCTAGGACAAACACCCTTATCACATCTTTTCCCTCTTCACTATTCCCCCGAGTGCCTTGTCAAATGAATCCACTTTCCTTTGGCAGGAATCTTGCTCCCTTCAATACTTTGTTCCTCTCTATTCTCACTTAGCTTATCATATGGAAAACATCCTTTTTCTATTAATATACAACACAATTTATGAATGGCATACCATTCTTATCAATATTATGTTCTTCACACGATTTGGGCGTCATTGAAAAATGACGGAACACGCATTTGGTTACTCCCTTCATTTAGCTCAACGGAATTGGTCCTCTATCCGAACCTTCTGAACCTCCGAAAGACCCCTGAAACAACACAGCAATGACATATGGTAATGTAGCAACTTATACATGAACAACTACAGTGCAATTCTCTACCCTCAAAACAGAACTGTTAGACCGCATGGGTTAGGCTGATGGAGGTAATAAATTCCGATTTTCAGGGAATTTTTCAACTCTTGGGTGAGTTGGACGTTTGGAAAATTAAACTTATAGAATGATTTAAAACGACTTACTAATAAACTTTGTTAAAACCGGGCATTATCATGAAGCAGGGAACTTTTCGCGAATTAAAACTGCGCTAGATTGAGAAAGACGCCATTTGCAAGAAAGAAAGAAAGCATAACAAATGCAAAAACACATGATCCTGTCACATGGCGACAGTCACAGCTTACTCAAGATTTCGAACAAGACGTTGAAGGTGTGCAGCACATCCCGCTCGGCCTAATAGCTCAATAAAGTCTTCATCGTGAGTGATGATAATGAGTTGGAAGTTCCTTTGACTCGAACGGGTTTTGATAATCCTGCAGGGCATAGAGACGTAATTCTGTAGTCCAATCATACACAAAAAGCAGCCCAATCCGATGATGTACATTGAGTAAAACGAATGACAACTGCCGCGTTTGATAGCCAAACCGATCAACCAAAGGACAAAAGTTGGGTGAAAAATGCTTCAAACGTGGAAACAATTGTCCGTACCGGGTCCCACCGCAGCTTATTCATGATCAAGCAATGCACAATGTACTGGACCAGTGGTCAGGTAACAGAGCCTGGGAGTTTAGCGTAGCTCAGCTTATGGGAAATCGTACGAAAAAATACAACGCGGAATTCGGAGAATAGGCGAATGTAGCATTCATCATAGAACTTTGTAGTAATTGATGTGTGGGTGCACTAGTTGTTGCAAGGGAAAACAAGCCTTGCAACCGTTACAAACGTTACCTATAGTAAATGCGTTCTTTATTTAAGATAGTAGATTGCACTAAATTCCGTTGGAAGCGAAGTTATTTGGGTCCCAGATAACAAAGACGATTAAAAATGGTATTCGTATGCTGTAGGGACTCCTTCTCGCCGAAAGTCTTGCGGTTCCACATCATGATAAAAGGATCAGCGCTTTTAGTGCCTTACTGGGACCTAAATTTTAACAAGCTACACTTAAATTGTGCTAACTTTTGCAAGAAAAATCCCATTAATCTTGTGATTTCGTCAATTGATCAATATTTGTCTACTTTATAAACAAAAATTAACAAAACACCAGAATGTATTGGAAATAAGGTTGAAGTTTCATCTCCCAAATCTCAGGTCTGTATAAAAAGAGCAACTACCTTCAATGCAACAACTAGTTGAAGTGTCATTGGCAAAAAATTGAGATCTTCTATGAACTGCTCAGTCTATGTCGTGATTACCTTTACGATCCGAAATGGGCAAAATACTAGTTAATAAACGTTGAATAAAGTAGTCGGATAAACAGACATAATGAGATTTGGGGTTCAAATTTGAGCATCCAAATTGTTGTCAAATGTCAAATGTATGTCAAAGTGCTGTGAGGGCTCAGAAAGGCTAGCCTGTCTAGGTGTTGCCGGAAGGTAAAGGGACATACTCATTGAGAGCATACGCCAACGACTCAATGTTCTCGCGATCCAAATTTGTAGTAGGCTCATCCAAAGCAAGTACTCCGCACTGGAGACAGAAGACCTCGGCCAGAGCCAGTCGAATTACTAGACTGGCGAGCACTTTCTGACCGGCCGAACAACGACCACGCATATCCAGTTGCGTCTCCGTGGAGGACCAACGAGCCTGCTTACCGCCACCCGTCAACACTGGGCCTGATGCTGCCTTTACCATCACCACACGGTAGTTGTATGTCCGCCGAGTTCTGGTTGCATTTACGTTGGCTACCGAGGATTCCTCCTCACTGCATATCTTTATGTGGTCTATGTCTACGACGGGCAGCAAGGTGTAGCTTGAATCTCAACTGTGACGACACAAATGGCTTGTTTCATAAAAAGCTGAAAAGGCTCACCATTCCCTCGGTAAGTTGTTCGCCATAATTCCCGAACTATCTTATTGACTTCATTTACTTTCTCCACATGGTATGCATTAATTGCTCTGCAGGAAGTCAATTGTAAGGATGAGGCTCAAAGAATCGAGCGCAGTAGAAACATGATTCTAACTCACCGATCAAGAGCTTGATGGTAGCGCTCAAGATCTGTCACCAATATTTCTGTCGTCTAAAAGGGAAAATGTTTCAAAATTAGATGATTTCTAAAAACAGTGGCTGCAGTATCTTATGAAAGGACAATGCATTCAAAGCACTTCCTTGTGGCAGTCAAACGCTCCCAATAACCATTGGAAATTAAGCAAACAGAATTAGGGAATGGAGGTATCGGAGCATAAAACTTTTCGATAAAATGAAATGAAAATCACGAAGGGGATGAAGTTCCCGGTTCGACGGCAGTAAACTTCGAAGTAAGTAAATTCGTAATTACGAGTCTGATATAAAAGGAAAAATTGAGACAAGCACAGCTTTCGGGTAAGCCCTAAGCCCACTGTTAAGAAACGCATTACCCTGAGGTCATATATCTTCTTCATGTATTCAGTTTCGGCGTCTCCATATTTCTCGACCAAGCTACGTTCAAGCATTCGCAGTTCTGTCTGCAACTGGGTTATCTTATCCTTGATGGCCTGTTTCTGTGAAATCGCAAATAAAGACGCTGGCAAGATAAATTGTCCATACCGTTTTGTATATCGTCAAGTAAATCCAGAGTTCACTTTAAAAACAAACGCGCATTCAAACAAGAGGATTATAATACGCAAACCTAAAAAAGGTGTTGTTCCAAACCTTTTGAGTGAACCAGTGGCAATGGCGTGTGAAGGTGTGGAATTACGCAACAACGTAAAGAGCCCATCAAACGAAACAATGACATTGAGAAAGATCGAGTGTACGTAAACTCAATCCCGCCTACACCAAATTGTTCCAGCTTTTCGGACTAACAGACTGAACTAACGTAACAATCTAAAAAAAATTGCTACTTTCAACCAGTTTGAGTTGGATGCTTTAGCGTGGATAAAAAGAGGTTTTGACACCCCAAGATTGGTTATTTTATGCAAATTAAGATCGCCAGTTGGAAGTAAATTGCTTTTGAAATCATGGTGTTTGGTAGTAAATAACTTGCACTATCAAAAGCTAACAAAACAGTGTTATAGACTAGAATCTCATTATTTTGCCAATCAAAATGTCTCAGGATATCACTCACCATATTGCTCAATACATAATAATTTCAAATAATCTTTATAAAATAGACTGATGTCTACTTGAAGGTCATAATTTAGGAGTTTATCTTCGCTTTGTGCTCCTTGCCAATAAACTGTGGGATAAATCATGAACTATGTAAAGTGCACATACTTATAATGATTATAAATACCTCTAGTTGGACGGTCTAAGTAAATTGCTTGAATATGATTGAGGAAACAGATACTCCTTTAGCAAGGTAGTAGGATAAGCCGTTGTACGCTGGTGAATCTACCTGGCTGCGAAGCCTTTCCTCCTCATTAGAGAGAGTATTGATGTGCTGTTCGAGATCTGTCGGCTCGGAGGGGCCAAATTGGCAAACATCGATTTGCCGCTGGATGTCTTGAAAACGCTCCTTGAGCAACGACAGTTGACTTCGGGTTTCTCGCAATCGCACGCAATCTCCAAGTTCGCGTTGGACAATCTAGGTCATTTGAAAATGAAAAGAAATACGCTTTCGCATCACAACTTCCCTTGACAAAACTGGCAGACGATACATAAGTATATCACTAGAACAAAAAAATTATCCAATTGGTCTATTATGGGTAGAGAGGATTTAGATTTTCAGCCTCTCCTCAAAAATAGACCGCACAAATCGCCACACCCAAGCAGTGTTCTGACAAAAAAAGCGTTTTAGATAAATGGACTTTTGGACAACTTAATGATTTCGCGAAAAGACATACAAAGTGATCGGGACCCTAAGTCAATCCAGCAAGCTCAGAGATAATTGAGGGAAGTGAGAAAGAGTAGCCCAAAGCCATATCATGAAAAGTAACAACACAAAAGTGTAGCACCTTATGGTTGGCGATTTCAGCGTGAAGATCTTCGACGCTCTTGGAAGTGGTTGCTAAAGCAGATTTAAGTCCTTCAGTGTTCGCATCTAGTTTCGCAAGTTCCTCTGTAACACGCTTCAGATGGTCTCTTGAGCCCTCTCCGTCTTTAGTTTTCAGTGCTACCACTTCGCACGCCTCCTTGACCTGACGACTTCGGTCCCGCCACTCTTGCCACTAAATTCAAAATACCTTGCATAAAAACATTTTTTTGGGATAGTTACCTTTCATCATCAGAGTAAAATGCCAGAGCATATCAGAGGGCGACAATTCGACTTTCCATGTTCATTCCGATGTGCGTCGCCTCGAGAGCTTGTCGTGTCAATACACTTGTTCTCGGTTTGTTTGTTTGTTTGGTTAGGGGATGATTAGCCTAAGCGGTTTAAGGCGCCCTTGGATGCAGCAATGAGTAGGTGATCATAATAAAGGTGGACAAAAGAATTGCACCACACAAATCTACACATACACATTGCGCATTCCAAAGCTGTCCTGAAAATAAATGACCCTATGGTTTAGCCCATTTTCGGGCAGAAAGTCAATTGCGCCCACACACAGAAGCGCACCGCAACAATTTCGCCTGAAGTGCACATGCTCGCCAGGTTTACGCAAATTTCAGTCGCATCAAAACCCACTAGGGAGTTAAACCTTGTTCCTACCTCATTTGATGACAACATCTTGGCCATTAAATAGCCACAGGTGCCTGCCAAAGGGCCGCAAGAAATTAAAAGGGTATTAAACAAACGTCCGCCATTGGCGACTATGTACAAGGACCAAAAGTCGGATTGGAGATAAATCGTAACAAACAATAGCTCTCTACACATCCTATGTGTATTTTTCTATATGGCTGCTTTTTGGGGAGGGGGGTAAGACAGTTAACTTCACCAAGCACTGCCATTAAACAAATTTTCCGCAATGTAATTTGTGTTTTGCACAAAATAAATATTCTAATTTTGCTTCGCTACTTAGCATGACTTACTTAATGAATGTCAGTCCGGTTAGGAGTCTAAAAATGTGCTTCTCTCCTTTGTGAAGGAGACAGAGCATAATAGACAACAAAAATTCCAGACCAGAATAGATCCCATAAGAATAGCTGCATTCCGATTCATAAAAGGATGCAAATCGCGATTCAGAAACCTGTTTTTTCTCATTCCAAAGGAAAAGCACAAAAAATTAGCCAATTATCCCTTGTATAGACGTAAATCCGTGCATAATCCTTACGTTAAAAGTGGTAATGCCTTTGAAGCACGTATATCATTAGCATGTGCTTAATAGACTAACAACAGCTCAAGTGTGATGGCGTAAAAATAACACCTTAATTCAAAGTAAAAACGATTTTCACGTACTAGAGCATCTCCAGTTCATTCCTGGTCGCTTAAATCGAATCAATGAACATCACAACGCTTCAAATGACAAAGAGCTGGAGACTCTTTGGTGTAATGCTTGGAACAGTAAGAATAAATTCTTGCCCACATTCTGAATATGAAACTAATCCATACGTAAAATCTGCCCACTCAACAATATCGCTAGGACACTTTAGGTAATTTTAAAAGGTGTTATTTCCAAGGGAAGCAGTTGCTTTGACCACTTTATTAGATTTTTGCTGAATTTCAAAGAATTCTGATTTCTAAGCAGTTCCACAGGACGAGTTGAGCCACAGCGCACTAGCGGTCCGACTGGACGCAATCATCACAACAACAGAAAATGCGTGTTCGGCTTGAAACTCAAGCTTACCTCGGCTGATGCAATCATCATTTTTTCGCTAGCCTCCTTGGCTACCTTCTGCTTAGCATTCTCAGCCGCAAGAAGAGCTGCTTTGCAACTCGGGAGTTGGCTACTCAGGTCCTCCAATTTACCAGTGATACGAGTTTTCGCAGCCATTAAGCGCTCAAGCTCGACGTTCAAGCTGGTTGCTGATTGAAACTCCTTTTCCAACTGAAACATTCCATAAATTTCGAACATTACAAGTGCGGTCGGTATGGCATGCGGAAAAACCGGACACTGCAAATTGGATTTTAGAGCTCCTTTTAAGGAGTTCCAATTTATTTCTTTGCAAAGGTCGACATGATGTTGACAGCCTTTTCTGATCATGGATGTTACACAAGCTTTGCGATGTCTTTAACAGAATGGGATAATTTTTGTTAAAACTTTATTTGACATGATCCTTTAAATTGGCGATCGTACACAAGTGATCCGCTGGTGTCAGGACTAGTGAGTATATGAATGGCAGAAGACCAACGGCATTAAGGGCTTATGCATGGCCATTTGTACACTTAAGACTCATTCAAGCAAATGATCAAAGTTGCTGGCGAAACCATTTGACTAGCGTTATCAAATAATAAAGGCTACAAATTACAACACAATTGAGGGGTCGAACTGCCTTAATGAGGTGTGTATCAAATACGATCTTGCCTTAAGAAGAGTACTCCTCAATTCATTTTCCTCATTTGTTGCCTTTTGACGCTTCGCCAGCTCCTGATCCAGCTTCTTGCGAAAATCAATGACAGCTGTAGAAAGGAGATTGCTGCTTGACTTAGATTTGGGAAAAGCTGAATTCAAGCATTACCATTTAGCACGCAACGAGTCCCGCTCCTCCTGAAGCTCTGTAACAGACCTTAACACTAAAAGGAAGAATTATTGATGGGTTTGCTTCATTAAATTTTCCGATGAAATAAACTTCAACTGGTGAAAAAAAGAGGATTTACTCAGAAATGTAACAGGCTGAACAAGGAATTCATAATGAAGGGCAGAGAAAAAATAATGAAGCAGTACGAAGATTGAAAATATTCATAATTGCACTAACAATGAAAATCTGTTGAGGAAAAAATTCTAAAAACCGATGTCAAGAAATTTCTCACTTGTGTTTTCATTTACAGGGGTGAGAGAGGCCAAAGAACGGCTCAGATTGACGATTTCTTTCTCAGTATTTTCAAGGGAAGTCATGTCACCTTGCAGCATTCTTGCAACTGACTCATCGGATTGAAGACCTTCTAATTTTGATGCTTCCTTGAAGGTGATGAGTGGAAGACATGTGTAAAGCACCAAAATATGAGCTTACATTTGCAATTTCATTTTGCAGCTTCTCAAGACTTGATTGGGTAGCTTGAACTTCGGCTCTCAACTCAGGCAGTTCAGTTTTCTGTAATTCAGCAAGCTGATGGACTTTACGTTAACTATAAGATTATAACTTACTTCATTAATGCACGGTTTCAACTCAATGAATGCCTCATACTGGGCATCTATCTGTAGAAGGTCCTTTCTTTTAGCATTCAAATCTCGAGCAGTGGTAACAATACGTTTCTCGATCTATGAACATCAAAACATGGCATGAGATTCGAGGCACAGCTATTTACGCGAGGAGAACAGTGAGTGATCCCTTGCCTCTTCCTCCAAATCCTGGTGATCCTGTCCATTTTCAAAGCCTCTGTGGCACAGTGGACATGCTGACTCACTAACAAGGCGATCACGAAACTTCTTCCACAGATGCAAACTTCCCTCCTCGATCTCACAATCACTATTAAATAAAAGGAGAAGTAAGCTTCCATACTTTTTTCAGTAGATGTCATATGAATTAGAATATTCACCAAAAGATAAGGTACTTCGCAAGAAAACAAAAAATTCTTTGTCCCATGAGGAAGTAATAAGAAACACATGCGTTAACGGCATACAGTAATGACTTGAAAAAGGAAATAACACTTTAAAGCTTGATGACCTTCTCAAGAGTGGAAAAAACTGTCGAATTCCAAGTCACTTTCTGTGCCTTCAAAAGGCAAAATCACTCACTGCTTGAGCTGTTCTTTCCTTGGTACCAAATTGTCTAATTTCTTTTGCAGTTCTACACCACCACAAACTGAGATCAGACGTTCTTCTATTACTCTTAAGGCGTCCTCTTTTTCATGCAGCCGTTTTCTAAGAAAACATGCCAAGTGAGAGCTGAGTACCTTTTAAATGACATCTCAGTCTCTAGTTTAGACAGATTCCGTTGTAACGCGGTAAGACTTTCTTGGGTGGCTCTAGAGGAATGCACTAATTCATCGAGTCGCTTGTTGAATGCCTTTGTAAGACTATTCAAAGTCTGGCCGCCATCAACACAGGCTGGAGGAATGGGCTCACCGGCAAAAATTTGCTCCAGCAAATCCAAACTACGATTTCGACTGGGAAAATAAAGTAGATATTTAGCCAATGTGAATGTAAAAAACGAACTACTTTAGCAACAACTCAGACTTACATTTTCTTTGCAGTTTCAATAGCGGCTTTTCTACTGGTTTCCAACATGGAGCGCTCGTGATTTGCCATTGCACTTTTTTGCGCCTCAACAATTTGATTACTTTAGAATGGGAGATTTGAAGTCGAGACAATCACTTACTCTATGCCTGTTATGATATCTTCACAAGAAATAAGCTCGGCCTGTGCCTCCTCTATGGACTTTCTTAGTTGAGCTTCGTCCCTAGAGGATTCCAACATTTCACGAGTTTTCACCTATTAAAGGAAGGGTGCAAATTTTCATGCACTAACTAGCCAAAAATTGCATCCGAATTCAAAACAAAAAGAGACAGATGCACACATTGATGAAATGTTTTTGCAAACAAACACTAGTGTCACTGGAAGTATATTTCATTGACACCTTACTAAAAAGTAGAATTGAATAAAAGTACTGATAATGATGCCACGTGGGAACTATTCACATAAGGGAATTCGAAACTCCGATTCCATATGAACCTGCTTGAATGCATGAGAACTCATCTGAATATGTTTGACAGCGCCTACTGACCAAATTTCTTACCGTTTTTATTAGACCTGATGCCTGTCTAACAGGTATAGTCACAACAAGTCTTCTAGCAAACTTACAGCTTCGGCCAATTTTTTTCTGATTCTTTCTAGTTCACCTCCTGCGGAACTAGCTTGCCGTAGCTTGAGTTCAACATCCGCCACCTCTTTTATATTGTCTGCCTAAAAGCACGACTTTATTTGAAGATTTGTGCTGAACCCAAAGGAGGTGTCAAGCAATTACTCACCAAGGCTGTTTTTTGGCTAGCGATAGACTGTTCAACACGAATCAATGCCGAGCGGGCCTCATCGATGATCGTTTGAGCTCTTCTGCTATCGGATTCCGCAGATACCTGTCGTAAAAAACACATTGAGCAACAAGCGCATTTAATTCGTTCATTTGTCAAAAATTTGCCTTTGTTGACTCCATTTGAGACTCAGCCATCCTCAGAGCGGCTTCCAAGTGCTTTTGCACTGTTTCCACATCAGTAGCGGCCATATTTTCAGCACTGGTGGTTTTTTTAGTAACTTCTACAAGAATTAACATCACTCATTTGGATGCAATTATTGAAGGTAAGTATTAACTAGATGCTGAAATACGCACCTTGAATGCCTAAATCAACACACAGCTTCTCTAATATTTCATCTCGCTTCCTCAAAGCCTCCTCTTGTTGCTAAAAAAAATAATAGAAACTCATTATTTGCAAGAGGTTCAGCTAAAAAACATCTCATCTTCAGAACATCTATTAACTATCTTGAAAGCGCCGGATAAATTATAAATCACACAAATATTTTAAGAATCATAACTTCGATCACTGAGCATCTTTCTTGTTTGCTGCCCAAAATTCCGAGAAAATTGTCACTCAAAAATGCACAACTTAACGCCCTAGCTCATTCATGTAGGCCGAATTTGTAAAATCCTGGGGCAATATAAACATCTTCCTGTTCCACAATTTAAACCAGCTGTAACCAATCCGTGCAACAATTCACCAAAAATAGTTGCAAACTCATCCAAAATATTGGTGAAAATGGAGGTGCGGAACGCACGTAACGCTTTTAGCGAATAAACAATAAGCACATGAGTGAAAGCTCCCCACAACACAGAGATCTTTCGTTTCAAAAACTTATCTACCGATGCTATGCAGGCCGAATTGATAAAGAGAATGAAGATCTAGCAGAAGCACTCGTTTACATGGACTTGACAACCGACCTTTACTTCGATATCCAGCTGCGTCCTTTGGATGATTAGATCTGATCTGGCCTGCTCATTTGTATTAATTAATGCTTTAAGCCGATGAAGATCCTGTTCCGCAGCTGCGAAAGACAGATGTTTCTCAGCTAAATGTTCCTCAGCCCTCTCAACCGCATTCTTCAATTCCTCATCCGTTCCTTTAGAGCGAAAGGAAGTTTACTTCAGTCTCTCTTCCAAAAGTACAGAGGCGTCAACAGATCTTATTCAAGAAAACTAGCGTATTTCCTTTACAATCACATCTGAGAGGCCTATTTCTGACAAGAACACAGCTGCTTCAACATAATTTCATTGGTTTCACCGATAAGGAATTTGAAGACCTCTAAAATACCTTCAGAAATGTTGGTAGTCATAGATTCATCAATCAAAATCAACACGGGTAACCAGCATGGCTTTGGCCTTAGGTCGTCTAAATACTAAAACCAAAAGTTTACGAAAAGTATTTTGAAATTGCAATCATTTTAGGAGACTATTACCAGTCGATTCAAACTCAGGAAAAGTAGCAGGATTATACCTTGAAACTCTGCGCTGATATGTTTGACTAAATCTTGACGCATTGCCTCCAAACGTGATATTTCAGCAACACATCCACCTAAAGCAAAAATGATTGTTATTTCCCAAATTTTCCAAAAAAAGTACAAAACACGTCTACTAGTTTTATGTGAGCAGTAAAGGAAAATTTAGAAAATGACGCACGTGCATCTGCCTGGTGCTGGACCAATTCCTTGTATTTCGTCCGATATAAAGTTAGCTTGGTCTAATTGATAAGATAAGCTGAGGTACCCCAACAGAATACCCGAAACCACTGAATCAATAAGAGAATCACTCACATTTATTGGATCTAGATCCTCATCAACTTTCGAGAGAACCCTCTTTTGGTCATTCAGGGCGCGTTCGGTGTCGATTCTCTGACTTTTTATCTGCATTAATTTAAATTATAAGTTTTTGGTGCGTTACGCACAAAATATCCAATTACAACCGAAGTATGTAGCTTATTTAAGGGATTTCACAGAAGCGACCAACCTGAATCGCCTCTTCCCTAGAACGACTAAGATGCTTCAATTCACCTCGATAGATTTTTGCATTTGCCTCCTAAGTATAGAGAAACATAAAAACTAAGGCAATTATAGAGCCACAATCAAAATAATAGGAGTGCTTACCTCCTCCAACTTGAACCTCCGAATGGCATCGAGCGCTTTGACGTATTGGGAAGAAGCAAAGAGGTTATCAAAGCGCTCTTTCACTGCCTTTGCTTCGTGTAGGGGCCTAGGAACTCGTTTGGGGAAAAAATTTTACCAATTAGATTCCTCCTGATGGCAGAATATTACATTGTCGAATACGGCCCTAGATGTCCCCAAACTTATCAGCATCTGAAAGTGAAGCAGACGATGGTGAGCACACAAAAGATAGATCTGAACCACTTGTTACAAGAAACGACCAGACTTCTCGACTAGTACTGCAAATAAGGCGTTTTAAACCCTAAATTCATTTCTTCCCATACGAAGCTAAACCAGTTAAAGGTACTTAAGTTTCAGTGATAATAGGTGACCAAAACCTCAATGAGATAGACTCGAAATTAGAGTCAACGTAGGGAACACTAAGACACTGAGCTCCTGAAAGACAAATTTAATTTCACTAATAACATTTTAAGTATGCACTTTTCAATAATAAAGTCAAAGCTACCTCCCTATCGATCTCGCCAACGCGGTAACTATGGCTAATTATTTCTCCTGCTGGAGATAGCCTCTTAATGGTTCCATCCAGAGTCTTCAAGCTTGGCTGTTTAGCCTGCAGTGGAAAGTGTTCGGTAAATATTTATCAACCATTAAATGTCTGAATTCGCAGGCACATATGAACTATTCGTCTGTCCTGTGGTATGCTATATAGGTGCTCATCATTGAACTTTCTTGAACCCGTGAATGATAACCTATCCAAATACTTGGAGGAATGCCATAAATGCTACATTGAACATCTTTTTGTTTGTTCCTAATAGAGCAGATATCCAATAAGTGTTATTAGTGGTGGTAAACGCAAAGGCTGAGAGAAACCAGTAGTATCTTGGGAATTTATGCAATCCAAAATTACTTTGCCCAAAAATGAAGTCCCATTTTGACACATAAGGCTATATGGTTCCTAAATAGTCCATTCTATCTACCTGCAAATGCTAACTGCCCTAGCCTAAAGATTTAAAGCAAAGGATTCAATAATTCTAAACCACGAGACAAGGTTGTGCTAGATAATACAAAGGTAGCCATCCAATTCACTCTGCGCTTGTAGCAGTAGGCATAAGCGATTCATCCAGAATTAGAGTAAGCAAGTTCATAGGATAGAAAATTCAAATTGTTCGCATACTGGTCCGCGTTGAGTAGCAACAAGACTGCGGGCAACAACAAGGGGAGAATTTTTCACATCCCTTAATTTAAGTGCCACTTTGGCTTTAACTTCAACTGAGTGGGCCAGCTGAAATAAACATGAAAAAGCAAGGATCAGACACAATAGTAGTTAGAAGTTAAAATAATTCAAACCCATGGCACTCACCTTTGGATCATGAATGAATGATGCACCTGTTTTTCCACCGGGCGGCAACTCACCAGTGACGGCATACTTAAGACACTCAATAATTGTCTACATCGAATGAAAGGCCAGAAGCAAAGACAAACCGTCTTTCCCGTGCCATTTGGGCCCAATATTAAGGTAAGAGGGGCCGAAAACTTAATTCTCTGGGGGTTTTCAGGCCCGAAGCTCCTGATTCCCTGTATATATATCTCCTCCAACAAGGACATTTTAAAATAAGGCTGGAGAGTCTAAATATTTTTGGAATAAATTTAAGTCCAAGACTAAATGGTGGGAGCCTAGTGGACCTGTAGGTTCGAAAAAGAGCCAAGAAAACTGCTTTAAGAAGAGAACTGAAATTCGTGTTGTAATAAATTAGTATGGAAAGATTCGTGAATTCCAACCACAAACAGAGATTTACGATCAGCTCCAATTTCCCAACGAATTACTAACAGTGGTGATGCACAAATAATAAATAGAAGCTGGCTAATAACATTGAAGTTTGCAGCGCGAATTTTCCTGGTCGTGCAAAAAATTGGTTCAACCCTCGATAGCATGGCAGTAACACACTAAGAACCCAGATTTCGACAAAGCGTTAACTCAAGCAGACATCTTTGACGACAAAATTCCTGGAGTGGAAGCAACGCACCTCAGATTACTCACACACACACTTCTTTTGACGCGCTAACACTTGCCCTTGAAAACGATTTGTAGCGCATTGTAAGCATTTAACTCGATGAAATTTATAAAGTTACACATCTGCAGCTTGTGCTTTATTTCCAAGTTTTTGCTATTATGTATACTTTTGAGAATCGGGTGCAGATTGTGCAGGCCACCTGTGTATTGCTTCGGTTTATCAACTACTTATATAAGTGGAAATCCCTTCAGTATTCGTCTGGATGCTCTTTTCGTGGATTGGCCTGCAAGTCAAGATGGTCCCAGTCTCTTCCTCTTCCTTCTAAAGTGTTGGTACTCTACAGCGCAAAGCTTATTGTTGTCATGAAAATAAAGTAAATTTGTTTCACGAATCATCTGCTCAATTTGTAACACTTTGTTTATGTGAACGCATATATGATTGGCGGTCGCTCCGGTCAGCACTACGTTTCTTTGCGTAAGCTGGCCCTTGAGCTAGGTCACGGAATCGGTTCTAACAGTTATGGCTAAATATAAGTATTCAGCCATGCCCGATCCCTTCTACCACTAAAATGTGAAAACTCTGGCTGTACACTGATGGTTGGAGGACTGATGGAGCAAGAAGCTGCATACCCATTCGTCTGCTCTCTTGAGCTGCAAACTCTCCCATGACATTCAAGCTCTACCTTGTTTGCAGCTCAGAGACTATTTTTAAGGTAATGAGATACCCTCTTTCTGTAATAGTGTTGCGAGTTGGACCATCTGTTACGATAAGTTCAAGCAGTTAACTCCAGAAAATTACTGGATAATCCCGAGGTTCCGGTTTTAGCACTGCAGAGCCTGCCCGCCTATCTTCGAGGCCTTTAACCCTGGACTTCATAAGAGGGTTAGTTGTGGAAGTTTTCTTTGGCATTGTGTACAGAAAAACGGAATTGAGGAGGGTAGATGAGAGGGAAATCAAATGTCACCCAGTGAAAGGTACTTCACGCTCCTCATGCAGTGAGTTCGTGTTCGACTTGATTTCTTGCCTCTCCCCTATGAAGGCAAACTTACGCACACTAATATATATTACAAGTACATTGTTTATGTTACCGCTTCTATGAGCGGTGGGCACTCTGACATCTATTTTGCTTTTGTACGCGTGGGATGGCCTCCGAGCAAAGCCATAGTCCATTCACTCCTTTTCATCTTTGAATATATGCAATCACTTCTATTTTTCCACCTTTGCTTACCTACTAATAGGTCTCAAGACGCTTCACCTCTGTTTCAAAAGTATCTGCGTTAGCTCTTGCACACTTTCAGAGTTCGCTTGTTACGGACTCTGTGTGTAGCCTTCCGATACCTCCCTTTGGGAAATTGAGCGCATAAGGCTTAGTCTAACGCATGGAAACAGGGAGAAAGGGAAGACTTAGAACTTTAACATGGTCTGAAGTCCGGTCCTTTTTACATAAGAGAAGTGGCTATTAAAGTGACCTCTGCGCTCAGAGGTAGTTGAGTAAATAGTGTAACCGTAGCGTCTTGAGGCTTCCCGCCCGGCAGCAGAAGGCACCAGGCATGGTTTAATGCTCATATTCAGTCAAAAATAATAGAATCGGGGCAATGGCTTGACTCAAGAGCTAGCCTATGCGACTTTCATTCCCTACAGGGCAGTCAAATAAACAAAGCATTTAAATAACATTGTACCCTCATTCATAGGATCAATATAGTATCGGTATTAACTGTTAGAATTGCTAAAGTAGAACGTCTAGAATTGAATATTTGTTGCTTACGCTTAGCTGGTGTGGCTTATTCAGCATTTTTCCACTACAGTTTCAATAGACCTCTCAAGAGTTGACGTTAATGGGCATTTCGAGTGCAAGAGGAGCAAAGGGGAAGTAGGTGGCGTACTTGGGAAGCAAAGCTGCTTTGAATTTGTCCTCTTTATTGGGCTTGTCCCCACCAGCCTCCTGTCGAACGTGCTTTTGATCATGTCTGTTCGTCAGGAAGAATTTTGCCTATGATTTCATTTTGCATTAAACAGATTAGGGTGAAGGAGGGAAACGTGAAGTAATTCAAGACTAAGGCAACGTTCTTTCTTCCAGTACGACGTTTGATTTTACATTTTCTCTTTGGCCTACAAGGTGCACTTAAACAACAATTCTGTATGTACTGCATAGCTCCCTTCTATTTCAAGCGCCATCCTCGGTTCTAGCCTTAAGGGTTCCGTCTGGTGAATTCCATTTTTCTCTCACAGCATTACCTTTATCCTCGTAATTTAGTCAGGTGCGACGGTGTAGAATCTCGTTTAATTTTTATGTACGGTTAATGGTTAAGAGACGAAATCCACATTCCAGACGCGGTAGTTCGTAGGCAGCAGAAATCTGACCATGTGATAAGGGACAGTGATTCAAAAAATGCAAAACTCATGAAGTTCCATGGAGGAATTGACCTGCACACTTGCACTAAATAGCCGGTGAAGACGTTGGTACGAAAAATACTATAGTGAGCTGGTGAGGGTCTCGAATAGCAACACTCCAGTCGAGACAAGCGGTAGCTCGGTACGCGAGGAGTGCACATCCTAGGTTTACCTAGCAATCCTCGGACTGTACACCTTCGACACAAGTCTTTAAGAGCTCCACAGGTCTCTAATTCATCCCTTCCACTTACTGATTGCCTTGAGACTGCCACGACGTTGTGCACGTTTGCAAATTTTAGAAGTTTTGCAAGCTCTGTGCGACATCTTTTGAACTTAGGGCCTTGACCGCTATGGATAAAGTCAAGTACTCTTGGTTAACAGATTCAGCGGTTGAGGAACGTTGCTACCATTGTCCCTGCATACTGCGCACTTAAGGGTTCCGCTTCAGCTACCCTAGTGAAGTACGTTGCCCTTACTAAAACGTATCGGTTCCTTCTCTAGGTCGTTCAAAGCGGGTCGATGGAGTCCATGCCTATAGTCTTTCCTGGAGATCTCGTAGGCATAAAATGAAGGAGTTCAATGGCGGTGTTGTGGCGATCTTGAAGTTGATGCATGTGATGCAAGTATGACAAAAATTGAAGACATCGGCAATAGGCAGGAGCCACAATATTTCTCATTCACAGACTCTACCATCCTCCTTTTGTCTACGGGGTCTAGTTACTCGCGTCCGTTCACTAGAAATGCCTGTATTAACACACCGGGGTCTTCGAACCGTTTGCGACTTGCCACTTCTTCCTTGTACCAAATGACGTTGTGCCCTAGAGAAGAATATCGCCCACTTCTGCCATATTTGCTTGGCTGTTATGCTTGCCGAGCTCATCTAATCGGCTGCAAGCTTAGCTGATGCTGTCCACAGCCTCTTGTAAATAAGGGACGTGTCGGTAATAAGCGCTCTGCATGTCTAACCAATGGTGGGTTGTGGATTCAGTCAACTTCAACGTACCTACTGTAATGCCATCTGTATCGGACAAGGGAGGTGTGCGGGGTAATGTCCGCATTACCATGAGCGTCCTCCTTCCTGAGGTACGCTGCGAGGTCATGCTGCTGCAGTTCTGCACACAGCCCGGAAGCTGAGCTGTCGATTTCTTTCAGCGTCTGTTCATTTTGAAATTTTTGCATTTCAGCTTATGTTTGAAACGTCTGACCATTGTATATATGCCAAACGATTTGTATTCCATTGCGCTCTTATGTCCCACTTCCTTGTTTAACAGAGAAGTGGAGTAGGCAACGACATATTCTCTCTCATCTTCGTGCTTTTAAGAGAGTATACCACCCGCCACTATCTCGCTCGCATCTGTGTCAAGCGCGAAGGGCGAAGCGTTAATGTAAATACATCAAGAAATTCGCTACTTGGGGAGCGTGGAAGAAAAGAGAAATTGTAATAAAAGGCTAGTTTTCATCTTCAAAGTCCATGTCCTCTCCAAAGGAGATAGATGCGCTGGCACTATGACCGGTGTAGCCTCGCATACTATTAACCCCTTCTAAATAATTTACTTATGCCGATTTTATTCGGCATCAAACTGATTTGACCTTTAACACAGAAATAAAAGAGAGAACTGTGACCCAGAGCCCGAGTCAAGGAGTACCCTTCCTTCTCTGCATTAAGACTTTTAATCTTATCTCTTCTCTCTCACCTACAAAGTGCATTTAGATAACAACTCTGTATGTATTGCAGTGAGTATTATAACATTGCAATTTTTGGCAGCACTGTCCCTGCCTCATTAACCTTACGACTTTGGATTGATCGCGGTAGATTCATTCCTTTCTCCTTTTTAAGTAATACTTTTATGTGTCAAGAGGACCTGCCATAAATCCAACTCTTCGTAGGGTTGCTTGACATCATATCACAAGCTTAAGGCTCAGTGTCAGCAACAGACTCGAAAGGCACAAGTCAATTATTGTAGTAGGTTGCTTTTCGACCACCTGTGTGGGGGGCGGTCACTCGACCAACTCACCTCTGCCGTGTGGGCAGGCCACCCAAAAGCCCATCCTCTCTTGGAGTAAAAGCACTCAGTCGAGCTTTGTGACCTCTGTTGATTAACGGGAAGTACTAGTGCTGTTAAATTAACACATTGGGGGACCAAGTCATGCTAGTGCGTAAAAATACAATCTCCAAGTCACGTTTACGTATATAAACAATGTGAATGCACTTTTTTTGATTAAGTGATTATGTGATGTTTAGCAGTTACTTTGGCATTTGTTTTGCTCTTTTACGCATAGGACACCCCTCAGAACACGCTAAGTTCCTACTCCATCGTCTCCTAAAATACATGTATCCTACCCACAAATAATGCCTTCTTCTACCTTATGGAAGTCTCGGAGCTTTGCATCTATAAAATCACAGACTCTGACTATACTGCATTTTTAATTCGCCGAATCAAAACACAAAAAGCTCAATGGTTATGTGTTGAGCACTGTAGCGTCCCGAGGCTTCCAATGGGATAGTAGAAGGCATAAGTGAAGTTGAATACATGTATTCCGAAAACCATAGGAGAAATGGAGCCTGAGCATGGCCCAAAGGCCAGCCCACCTGTACAGGACCCAGACAAGTTCTAAAGTGACTGCCAAACGTCAGATAGTCACATAAACAAAGCATTACAGACACAAAAGTGAATTTCTTTATACATCGTCCAGCATCATCGCTGCGGCGTCTCTAGACTTCTTACTAGATAGGAGAAGCAGTAAGTGGAACTAAATTAGGCCTGAGCGCGACTCGAACGTCATTTCACGCGTACAAGAACTAGACCCCTTAAAGTGACCGCCAGACATCAGATAGTCACCTGACCAAAGCATCATAAAGTACTACAAGTATCGCGATTATTTAGTTTGGGCTCTGAAACGCATTGTTTGGATTTTACCGAAGACAGTCAAACAGAGAGTTGTTTGAACTAGAATTCACCCAATTTTGCATCCGCATTGTGGGTGGTATAATGCATATGTGTTTGTTAAGTTTTGTTTTGTTGGGAGAGGTGAGAAGCTAATTAGAATGTTATGCAGGTATAGTACAGAAACCCTTCATCGGACTAGCTCAGATTCCCCTTTGCCGTACTCTTTCCCCTTTCTGTGTCTATCTCTCTAGCGATGCATGACAGAGCATCGCATAGCATTTCTCCTACGAAGACATATATGAACGATATGGAGACCTCCTGGCCGGTATAAGAAGCCAGTAAGTGCAGTTGCATACATGTATTCTGAAGACAACAGAACAAATGGGCCTGGGCATAGCCCGAAAGCCAGCCATGTATGCAAGCACAAGACACATCCTAAATTGACTGCCCAACGGCATGTGGTCACATAAACAAGGTATTACAGGCGTTACAGATCGATCTTTTCCACGGCTAGAGATAAAACATCGGGGATTCCAGTCTTAGAAGTCTTTTGAAGCTTCTCAACTATACACGTATAAAGTTTCATACTAGTAAACTCCATAACATGAACGTTAAGCGACTTCTATAAATGTCAAATCGTTTTAAAAACCATTCTTTTGTTCCTCTTAATTTATTGTAAGCCGGTGGGTAAGGTCCTTTGGTAAGATAAATAATATGAAAGCATAGTGGTTGTGATAAATTTGATTAACTTTTGCATCTGCCAGCCAAAAATAAATTGTTTAACTAATTGAACGCATGTTAAACACATTTACTTTGGTGTCGCGCATATGTTTGTCGCATTTCGAATAGTGGGGTGGTCTGGTTGGTTTGTGTTTTGGTCGTTTTCTTGGCTGCTTATATTAGCAGCATCCGCTGATATTGAACAAATAACTCTTAGGTTTATTTCGATGAAATCTTTAGCCTTGCTTTCTCACTAAGTCATTGCTTATTGTTCGATGAACATTTGGAAATGCTGATACTGGGCTTCTCATAACCGGAATTAGAATTGTAGCCCTGATCACTAGTTTCTCTTGACGCGTTCCTCTTCTAACTGCCTAGCGCAATTGTCTGTGATTCTTACTCCGACAATTTTGATCGAAATTCAGGCTGTCATATTTGAATAGGCGCACTTAACCTGCATGATTGTCCTTTTTATTATAGAACTTTATTCTATCCGTTTTGGTCTGCGCTCAAATTCAAATGGTGAACCTGCCGGTAATGCTGATTAAATTTGGTCAATGCACTCCTTATTTAGACTAAGAAACTATTTGGTCTGTTCGTTAGGAGGATTATCCTCATTCTTTGTCTGATTGGAGCTCTGATATACTTATGGTTGGAATACAGAAGTTATCCTATGGTTAGTTGTCCTTAAAACAAGGTTACCCCTCCAAAGGGAAATGTAAGCTTGCCTAATTCGATGCATCAATACCCACTGGACCGTACCTCAATAATCAACAGTCTCACAGATGCAATGCAACACTCATGGAAAGCCTACGTTGATTATGCCTGGGGGATGGATGAAGTATTAGTGTTAACAAAGGTTGGAAAGCGTTGGATGAACGCCGGCCTTACTATGATAGATTCTCTTGACACACTCTGGATGTATGATATGAAGAACGAATTTGCTCGCGCTCGTGATTGGATCGAAGCTAATATAAATTTTGACTATGACAACGATGAAACAAGTGTTTTCGAGTCTACCATTCGATTATTAGGCGGGTTATTGAGTGCCTTCCATGTCTCAGGGGATACTGTATTTTTGAGAAAAGCGGTGCGATTATTTGCTGCATCGTACCATTTCGCTTTAAATATATATCAAAGACTTTTTTTCTGATTTAGGAGTTGATTGGAGGGAAGCTCATTTTGGCTTTTAACTCACCGTCCGGTCTTCCGTATACAAATATTAATTTTCGAACACTTAAAGCATCTCTTCCAGGTAACAGTAGAACGGTGTCACTTTCGGAGGTATCAACACTCCAACTGGAGTTTAACGAACTCGCAATGCTTTTGCGCAATGAAAGCATCGCGGTAAGCATTTCTTTTAAGTTATATTGTGGTTTATGCATAGATGATCGTCGTGTGCATCATGAGCGTCACAATTCTAGGGTTGATGGCCTGGTAGGGTACACAGCCAGAACCTGAATTGGAGTATATTCTCCATAATCTCGTGCCATCTTATTAGCTTGTAAACGAAGTTGAGATGATACATTAATCATCACCTCGTTGTGAATCACTCCACTGTGGAAGAAACATCAATATCAAATTCAGTTCCGCTTGCTAGGCTGTATGCTCCTGAAAAATTTGTCGAAGAAAACTTTTACCGAACTGGATGTACAGTATTCGATTCATAAATTGGAATCTCATGTTTTTGTATTTTTTCTATGCCACTTTACAAATTTGAAGTCTTAGAAAGCTATTTTTCATTGCTTTTTAGAGACCAGCAGCAAGTGTATATAAAATACTGAATAGAGTGAATGAGCTGTCGGGCCTTATCTCCATCGCTATAAACATGTACAATCCTGAACATTCACCATTGGACATCATTACTTTGGGTGCACGAGGCGACAGTTACTATGAGTACCTTCTGAAAGTACGTCGAGTTTCGGCAATTTCTGTCCGATATAGCTACTTTCTGAATTCAAATTTGTGGAAACACTTGGAAATTCTTTGGATTGTATGTGGTAATCACAAAGCAAATTTGGAACGGTGTTTGTCTGTTTTGGGCACAACTTTAGGGCTGATTCGTGCATTTTGTACCATCAGGGTTTGTACTAGGATTGTTATTGCAGCTGAAGACCAGCTGCAGTTTGTTAACCTGCAAATATTCGCTTATATGATGTCCACGCTCTCTGCCAGCAAATATTTGTTCCTTTTCTGTCTCTGCATTCCGTAGTTCTAATGTTAAGATAGGTATAGATTCGACAATCCGTTTCGGACCAAGAATAATCGTTTACAAACTTTCCGTTAGTTTACGTTTTGCCTAGTATCGCTGTTCCAAAGTTTTGCTTTTGCAACTCACAAGAAGAATTACTTTTGGTCTCCGCTCTACGGAGGCCCTACTAACTGGAAAAGTATTTCACGAATGGTCTGTTGCGCTCTTTATCGTTTGATTGTGCATTGCTCTTCTGTAATTAATTTGAAATTGAAACGTTTAAACTTGTCTTTACACCTTGGGCTCTCTATGCTTCCACTCACTTCAAATGATGAATTGTTGACACCGCCAGTGACTCCCTAAAGCATTCATAGAACTCATCTTTTGCCATCAGCATTAACGATTTCTAAGTTTAGCTCTTTTGTGTGCTCTTTGTTATTACCAACGCATGCATTTTGCATGACCTGTTACAACGAGTGAATTCAAGTTGACTGTGGGGGCTCTGGTTACATAAGCAATTTCGTATCACAAAGGCTTCGTCGACTAGTGGCGATAGCATTATCATGCGTCCTTATTAGCTGATTTATGAGAATAAATCCTTAAAAAATATTAAGGCATGCGGTTTAGCTATAGGTCCTGGCCGATTTTAGTCGGCTACCGCGTCCTCATGTTGCACCACTCAGCGTATATACTAAGCTATTGTTTTGGTGCTTTCAAAGAGCTCCGGTAACACAAATTCGTAAAGTAAATTCTTTGTGTTAATTTTGTCCACCATAGTCGTTGGAATTTGAAAAAAAGTGCTCTGACATCCTTGTCTATTGATTAAGCACTTATGATTTTGTACCCAGATTTTCACTATTATTTTCCTGTACCCAGGTTTGGGTGCAGACTGGCAAAGTGTCGCAATGGCTTCGAGATAAGTATATTACCGCCGTCGGAAGTGTAAAGCAAAAGCTGATTCGTCAAAGCGTTCCCAACGGTCTCACTTTTGTTGGAGAATTGCATGGATCGAAATTTTCTACAAAAATGGTATTCTTGTGTGTCATTATTTTTGCATGCATTTTTCGGCTGTGATCGAGGCGTTAACCTTGGCAAAGGATTATGCTCGCAGGAACGGCTAACAGGTCATAACAACAACATGTTCACGCTATTCACTTTCCTTCTGGTCAGTTCAAGGGATATGCGTACTGTAAATCAGGCCGGATGATGCACATGCGTTAAACTCGAATAAAAGTCGACAATTTTCATCAGATTTTTGCTCAAATTTAAATTCAGTTTTAGCTGTCCAAAAGGATATGGTCCCTGAAGAGCTGCTGTAGGACAGTCACGTTCTAATATTGTTCGTGGATGTGTTGGCATTTAACGGGGTTTTACATCCTTACTTTTTGAGGTGTTTTTCCAGTCAAAACGTTTTAAGTTACCATTTGCTCTCATCGTGATTGTTGTTCACGATTCATGCAAAATGAAGCATGGTTCACGCGGTTGGAAGTGCAATTTCTAACTGCAATGCTCAGGCATATCCCATGAATTTGTCACTTAGTGGTTCTTTGCTTTGCTATCTGTTGTGCGAATTCCGTTACTTGGGATTCTTTGTGCAAGTTTTGTACAGATTCTTGCCGACTTATCCAGACACATTATGCTTGGTTTATTAGGACCATCTGGTCTGCTTCTTGCCTGCTACTCTGGCTTATGGGCATCTTCACGGAATGCCAGAGGACCATTTACATTTGGCCGAGAGTCTGATGGAGACGTGCTTTCATTTGTACAACGACACACACACAGGTCTGAGCGCGGAACTTGTATACTTTAACCTGGCTAATTCTGACCGATCTGATTTCTATATAAAGGCAAGTCCTTACAGTTAAATCTTTTTCGTTATTTAAGCCTTTTCATCTGCTCATTCACTGTAGCAGTCACATCGGGTATTTCTTTAATTGATGCAATAAATTTTACTCTTAATCAATGACATCAGACTGGTCGCTCTTGAGCGCATACACTGGGGTTTTATTGTAAAACCATTTCTCTAAGTTTCAATGGTGTAATGGAAGCTCTGCCATTGGTTTCGGCTCAGCATGTCCGTCGCACTACTACTATTTGATCCATATTCCCTTACGTCCATGGATACGACTTCAATTTCCCCCAAACAATGAATGTCTATATAATATTCAAATGTTTATTCGCCTGGAGCATTTTTACTGTCATTATTTTGAATTGACCACCTCAGGTATGCGTTAGAGTCGTCAAATTAGCACCAGCTTTATGCGGCTAATTAGGCAACCTGCAGCAGACAGAAGGTCACCCAAAGTATGCGTTGGCACCTCTGCCGCTTGTTTTTCTTTGCGAACCGTGTTGTTGTGATTTTGTTCATTTTCAGCAATCTGATGCGTTCAACTTGCTTCGCCCTGAGACAGTTGAATCCCTATTCTACCTTTATCGTATCACCAAAAATCCCAAGTATCAGGAATGGGGTCTGGTGATATTTCGAGCTTTTAATGCCTCTTGTCGCATCAATCCGGCAGGTTTTGCGCCAATCCAAAATGTTCAGGCCTTCATCCCTCATCATCAAGACAAGATGGAGTCTTTTTGGATTGCGGAGACTCTCAAATACCTCCTCCTTCTCTTCGACGAGGAACTTGCAGCCAAATTCGACCTAACTCAGTGGATCTTTAACACTGAAGCGCACCCTTTCCCTCTACCCAAAGCGGATCTTGTCAGCGTGATTCAAAACTTGTACTCTTTTTAGTCTCTAATGCCTTATTTTTATACACCAAGGTGCATGCAGTCACATTCGTTGACCCTCCTCGATAAACACTCATTGTCTTGCACTTCTCTTTTTATGATCTTGTAATTCTCTTTGTCTGGTTGTATTTATTTTTTTACTTACCTTTTATAGATTAGCTGAATCGACTGAAAGGTCATGTAACTGCTGGTTGTTAGCACCCGGTTGGTTTTGCACCTATTTCCACCAAATTGGAGATGGATGATTCCAAATCATTTTTTGTTAATACTTGAACTATGTCGAGATGAGGCTTCCCTGAAGGCAAACGAAGGCGTTGTATTAAGATAAAATTCATGTTTTTGTCGAACTAGTTACTGGGATGCCCATGGGAACTGCAATGACTGAACGAATAATCACATTATAAAAACCTCTCCTCCCTTTTTCCCCATTTCTAACACCCTGTGCTTGCCATCACGGTGCGGCCGATGTTGCAGTGCTAACGCCCATGAACTGACCACACCAGAATCCAAATTTATGTGGGAGACGGTGTCTGCAACCTCACAAATCCTTCTTGGTAATTTACTAGATCTCGAGGTTTGTCCAGTTTGATAACAATTTTGAGGAATGGAAATTGTGATGGCCGCCTCGATCTTTCCTTGACAGCCCTTAGACTGTCGGCCCCAAGGCGGAGTGAGCTAATATCGAGACACTCGCAATGATGGGGTCTAGCCTACATTTACTATTAGTACACTCTCACTTCAGTGCTCCAGTTTTGTTTGGCTATTGGAGATAGGATGGTACCATGTGCCCGCTTCACTGACCTCTTCCTAGATGGCTGAAGTCGAATGCACTCCTTTGAATAGGGGCTGAGTCATTTGCCCAAAGCAGCCATAGTTCCATAAAACTTTGTTAGGACTCATCACAAATTTTCTCATCCGCAGTGCACATCCTTCCTCCGTCCCGTTGGGACTTAGCGTTCATGATAACCGTTCTCTAATGGTAATCTATTTTTGGGTGCCAGCTATGGAGCGTCGGAAGAATTCTTTGGAGACGAATGAACGCTTGGACATAATATATTTGTCGACGTTGAGATCTGAATTCCACTTTCACGGCCTAACGGCCATCTCATTCAGCAAGGGTGTGGAAGAGGGTCCTCCACTTACCTGCAACAAAAATAAGGGATTGAACAGTGCAATAGTATTTCAGAGTTTTCGAGTTCGATGTAGGCCTTGGCATGCTTCATGTCGCCTTGTCACTTTTTCAAATACCTTTAGCCTAGGCCAACCGTTGTTACATGACACACTTCGATTCTGGGCCGAGTTGTGTTCCAGTTCCTTCGCATTTTTGCATTTCGTAACCTCGGCCTAATTAGAATTGGCATTGCGTTGATGCCCGCATGGATAGAAAGACCGTTATTCAGAAGACCAATCTACCCACGGATGGACATATACGATCTGATACTGAACTGGCGGATGTTAATTCAATGCAGATGTTGATGTTTCTCTCACAACTATACGTGACCGAATTTCAGCGCTTATGTGATTGAGCTATGCACTTTACTCCTCCCATCCATTGTGGAGTTTGGTGAATATCGCTGTTGTTCTCAAACAATTCTACTAGCTACAAATGAGTAGGGAGGAGTGAGTTTTTATTTAGCCAAAATGAGGGAACGTAACGGGACGCCATTCAACTTGTCTGTTCAACTGTTGCAAATCACCACCATCCATACCGCAGTCCCCAAGTGAACAAATCTACCAGCTTTCGACAGTTATAAACTAAAATCAGGACAGTAGCTCCCTTGGATTGTTTCCAGTGGCTGCTCCCCACGAAGTTCTCGCACACCAAATCGCGCAACTGATTCGCTATGAAGGGATCGAGCCGGACCTTTCCCTTTTTACTGTACAGATGTGTAACTTTGAGCGCCACTATTGGAGCAAGCGAACGTTCAATACTGATGGCACCATCGACCAATGGCAGCAGTACATTTTTTCAAAACGGGAGTAGAGGACTCGGGTAGATGGCAATGATGCGAATGCAAGCCATGGGCCAGAATGATGTCACTGAGCTTTTAAGCGTAGGTTGAGTAATCAACAACCCTCTCAAAAATCCCAAATAGAGATCTCTAAACTATGGCAAAAATGTTTATTGGCGGAGTTGACTTAAGGATAAATCACACCATGTTCATGTGAGGATTTGTCAATGCTTACACTTTAATAATAATATGAACCGTAATTTTTGTATACCAATGGCGCGTACGTGGTGCAGAAATGCGGAGCGGGATGCATGCCTGATCGTTTCGATCGGCGACAGCCACCGGAGAAAAAAATTGCCATCTTTACTTGTACTACAGAGGGTGAACACGGGAGTTACTAAACGCGAGTACTACAGGAAGTGCTTTGAATGCTGTGAAAAAAAAAATGATTGAGAAAGAGAACGTTAGTGTGGAGAAGTCTGCTTGTATGAGATATAGCAAGGAGGATAGGAGTGATCCTTGAAAGACACAACAAGGCGGGAAGAGAAACTATACAATCTTGTTAGTTAGGGCATTGTACGTCGATCGGCGGCCGTGGCGTAGGCTGGAAAGACGACGGACGAGAGGGATGAAGACATGAATGGGGTAGGAGAGTGTGACTTCCCAAATGTATAAATCAGGGAGTCTGTAGAGCGAATGGGTTAATCGCACGACAAAGAGGGTATTTCAGTAGAACCGGTTTTGTGCCTCGCACAGGCAAAAGGTTCCGCGTATAATGGTGAACCATAATGGGTACAGTTGGGTAAGGTTGACTGTACTCGCCGAGAATGAAGGCCTCGGATTTGGGGTCGTAGGAAATCTTCATATGCAAAAAGTCCCGATCACGTCTTGAAGGAAGGAATGAGATTAAGAGATATTTGGAGTTTGAAGTAACACGATAGCTACAACTCGCCCGACAGCAGTACATGCAAATGATGCAAACCATAAAATTAACAGTAGAATGAGAAACCTTCCCCTCTATTTTTATGGGTTTTTAGGAACCTTGTCCCTCATTTAGGAGGAAAAATTGGGCTTAAAATCAACTTGGATTTGGTAAACAAGGAGTGATTGTAATGAAATAATTTAGCTGCTTTCAATTTATCCCTTCTCTCCCTCCCCCCTCCGAAAAGCCCTTAATTGTTAGAAAATTGTTTTCAGAGTATCGTATCTTGACGCCATCCGTTAATGATCCAGCGCTCATAAGAACAGGTTGAGGAACAGTGTTTCAAGTAGCATTTGTCATTTCGACGATAAATACCAGGACAAGGAGATGACTACTATCCTCCTACCAACGGTAATATAATGCTACAGAAAGTGTTTCACTATAAAAGACCATAGCAACCAAAAAAGAAAAATGGGTGAGTGTAAGTACCCGTAGATCAGTATGCACGAACTGATTGCTAAATTATACACCATACGTTTGGTTCAAGCCTTTCTGGCTAAAAGTCTCCTCGCCCTGAAACCTAGTGCAAAATCAAGGAATACAAATGTCTAAGGGCTTTATTCACGTAGAACACAGTAGATGCGGGAGATTTGACAAGGCCTAAACATGCACTTGGTCAATGGATAAGACTACCTTCGACACAACAGTCGGCTAGTACCTCTGTATTAGCACGGCCGTGCGAATGTACTGTTTAAACAGCTAAGCATCTATCTGTATGATTTTGCGTGTATGACAGCTACCGTGATAAATGGAGCCGAGGGGGGACAAGGAGAGGAATGTTAAAAGACGTCTGCGTAAGCAAGAACGCGGGGGGCTGCCACATTAGACGAGGATAACTGTACTAGCATAGTTACGCGCACAAGACCGATGGCATACGGTTTTCGACTAAGTCAAGTTGACACCTATTTGCATTAAACTAAAAAAGTCCACCACTAGCATTAATAGAGTAGCTCATCACTGAAAAAGCTACCTTTCTGCAGGACAGCTTTCGAGTCGAAGCAATCGCATAGACTGCACTAACGAGAAATATGCATTATCGTTTTGGCATGGACAAGGACAAGTGGACAGTTCTAACCTGATGGACAGGGAAAACGCAGCCTTGCTGGTCTCACTAGTGCGCACAAGGAAGCTGCCAGGAGGAGCTGAACGAAGCAGCGATTCAGCATCCGCACGTGGCAAATGACCATGAAACCACCTAAAAGTGGAAGGGAGGGGGGAATTGAAAGCTGTTTATTACTGCAACCGTGACCACGGCTACTCAAAAGCAGTCACACGCGAGCAACCAAGTCCGTTGCAGACAGCATCAGCGCTGTCGTACGCGCACGCGGCCACGTCTGCCCGACTAGTGCGGCCGTATCCGCCGATCGATAAGCGTACGCGCAGATTTGCAAACGACTGCAGGCGTGAACGCGCGCACGCATGAGGGGTTTCGCTCAGGGGCGGTTGCGACGGCGGCGCGCGAGCGTTTTGCGCAAGACAAACTCGCAGTCTGTAAAACTGCACGATCAGGTTACACAGCACACTAGGTAGGATCTCATCTCGTTCTCTTGGCGTTTCAAGTAGAGTTGAGGTTCTTCAAAAGGGTTCTACAGTTCCGAACCGCAAATGCACCTCAAATAAAGCTACTCATGAATTTAACAGCTTCTGTAGAATGCCCATCTTAAACTTGAGCTAGACCGAAGTTTTGAAATCGGTTACGTGGGTAGTTCATGGGAGGGAACAGTTACAATAGGAAATGAGGAAATGACATCAACTGCGAATAACATAATGCATTACAAATATAGTAAGAGACTGCAACTCATCGAACTCGATATTTGGTGTCCTCTCAATAACCACCCTAGTCTGCTCCATTATGATGAGGTACTCTATGATTGGAAAAGATTTTTTATGCTTAGAAGAACGCCAAAAACGGCTAAGCACGAGGTCAAACAATGAGTTCTTTTGGAGATGATAGTACTGCTTCATTCCACATTAAATGGCTTCTAACCTAAGGTGAGGTTGTCCACACTAAATATTTGGCATTTCAGTGGGATTAAGGACGAGTTGAACAGAATTCTTATAGGCAATAGTGCATTATTTCAAAATATGAGATCCGCATGTCTTTTTTGATAGTCTACTGAAAAGCCTTGCAAACAATCACGTTATTTACAGTTTCACCAAACCAGGAAAAATCTGAATGACAGATAATTCTAACATCAGATAACAGATTTGACTCACGGTTGTTCCTCCACCGGTAAAGAGACAAGAGCTGCCAGATCGGCCGCTCTCTTGCCGCGATTGCGCCCAGTGACAAGAACCTGTGGTCGCCCGTTTTGCGGCATACCAACTTTAGTTGAGGTCGACCTTTTTTCTATTGGGAAGGCAGCCTCATCCCCGGCAGGGACGATGATCGGCTGCGTAGGATGGTGGTAGTGATTCTGTTGTCGTCTCCTACGTTGACCGCTAACAAGCTGGTGCTGCGGCCATACCATGTAGGCCTGGGCGGGTGCCGTTTGGTACTCAAACACCCGACGGTCTGCCCAGACACCATCGTCAGCACTCATTTTTCCGCCTAGATGCGGCGGACAAGAGACCTGACTCTGAAAGAAGTAGCCTCCACCAGCGGGAACATCGCCAGGAGAGGTCGTGTTTGAGGAAGAGGAGGAGAAGAAGACGTGTCGACCATGGTAGACGGGTAAGGAGGTGGCGTCCTGCGGCGAGAGCACGAGCCCCGAGTCGGTGAGATGAACGGCCTTCATGCGTCGGCAGATACGCTGCTGATTATGTTGGTTGTGGAGGCCAGAGGAGTTCGAAGAGGCGTCGTCACAGCCAGGCCAGTCGATGAGCGACTGTGTCATCATGTCCGCGTTCGCGACGGCTGCAGCTGCAAGAGCTTTGTGCTGATTGGCTCCCGAGGGGCGCTGGTGACGAGCGTTGGAGCGAGAGCCTGGATGCTGTCGCACATTGCAACCTAAGCGTACAAATTGGCCTGCTGACTCATTGCCTAAATCTAGGGGAGAAAGGGTGAGTGATAAGGTGGGGAGACAGATAGGATGGAGAAAATAAATTTGTGATCAGGTACATGTCATCAATAGGTTTAGCTTGGTCTCAATACAGTCAGTATACCAATTCATGCATGTAACTCATTGGACCACGCCACAAAACAGACCTATTTTGATGAACAAGGAGCGGAATCAGTCAGTTAAGACAGGAGGTGTTGGATATGATAACTTAAGATGGGATTCTGATGGGAGGCAAAAACCAGTTTAATGGGCAAGGCTAAGTTTGGATGTGGACGCCAAGGTCTCAACAGGCTGATCCAAGATGTTCGATTCTGATGAACGCCCCTGTTGTTAACAATTTCCACCATCTAATTAGTTATTGGAGAAATACGGTCATGAGCACCTAGTCAAGGTTCTGCGACATTGTACGCAGTCAGCTGGACGTATAACTCTACTATGAATACCACTGGCATACGGTTTGTGGAGAAATGGGGAATGTAATGAAACTAACCAAATAAGTCTAGTGGAAAGCAAAAAAATTTTACTCATAAATTCGTGGACCACAGCAATCAGAGGAAGTTGTGTCGTCAATACTGTTTTCTGTCAACAGAACACCCCAGATGAAGTACACTCGCGAACACGTAATTTTTCACCGTCATAACGAATGTTGAGTGAATTTATGGATGGCCTTACCGTTAATGACCCACTAGTAGTGAAATGCGGAACAATATACAGGTCAATCTCATTATCTGTTAACGTGATCAACAACGATTTTATCGCCACTACCGTGGAGCGTTTACCAACCAGCATCCCTGACGATTTAAAACCCGACCAGTCTGCTAAAAGCCGAAGATCAAGAAATTACTAATCTGGCACAGAAATGTCAAAAATGAAGCCTTATACAGAAAACACAAAAAGCGAAGCAACAATTTGCACCAGTTCATTGAAGAGAAGTAGCATTCTGTTTGAAATAAAAGCTGTGAAGAATTGCCTTGCATACGTGAACCCCGACCTGCCATCTATGTAACACTGCTAGGAAGTACACACTCCATAAATTGCAATGCTATTAGCGTGATTCATTTCTCACCAATCTTTATAAAAGCGGAACAGAACTCAAGGCTCAAATGTAAAATACGAATGAGATAAGCATTTACCCTCAAGAAGTCAAGTCGTTGTTTTTATTATTATGCAGTAGTTTGGGAAGTTAATCGGAAATATCACTAACCAGTACCAAGCGCTACAAGTATGCAGAAGTTGTCACAAGAAATTTGCAAGTGATAGTAAGGGTAAGAGAAACCAAGAGCTACAACACAATTCTCCGAGACTGTCCAGAAGAGAAGCTAAACCGCCGTCAGGGAAGAGAGATATGGCAGGACCGATAAGGGAGATTAATGCAGGCAGATGAACAGGAGCCAAACAACACTGCCAAAATAGCTACAGTTGAGTCTTTTTGGAACACCACCTCATGGAACAAGAGTAACAAACAAGCTTTCCACGAGAATGAGGAGCATTGAAGAGTGGACCAGCACCACACCAGAATGTGACTTTGGGAAATGAAGGTGGGATGCAGTCCGTCACAGGCAACACAAAGCCGACCCCGAGTGAACCGTAGGAGAGTAGGATAATGAGTTTGTTCTGGTAGTTGGTTCGTTTTTAACAGGATACTTCTGACTTCGAAGAAGCTTTGGTAAGCCATTAAAAAATTCCTTGGTCTTTCAGGAGGAGGAAAAATAACTATGCCTGATTTTACGACACCATAGGACTTTCTGAAGTGGCTGATAGCAGAGTAGGCGACTTGAGCGGAAGTAAATCCAGTGAAAGCAACGAAGTTCGGATGCGTACGCCGTGCCCTTTGCCACTAAGAGCCGCATTTGTGTGACATCCATAATTTTTTTCACGTTAATTTATTTTGCCAGAACTAAGATGTGATTGATACATCGCCAGCAGAGGGAGGCAAAGAAACTGTCTCCTATCCATATTCCGTTCCCAAACGTTGATAACTCGAAAACTTTGGGGTTCTAGAACAAGTTAAATAACATTCGTCTTTCGAAATCGCCGCTTCAAATAACGAAGATCAATTTGAAATGCTAATGCACGTAAACAAAAGTATTTGCACTACCTATCAGCTAAGGACGATAGCAATAGCCAGCGGTTAGAGAATGGGAGGTTGTTACAAGTGAGTATCTTGGTGGCAGATTGAGTCGAGTCTCAGAGCATTTTGGCAGACTGCCAGTTAACGCAAATGCATATACCCTCAAGTCTCAAATGAAGTAATGGAACTCCATTTCTCGAACTATCAGTGTCAATGAGTGACACTGATAGAAGTACTCATTCAGAATGCTCTATAAAAGGAAGGAAAAAGAGTAGCTAGCAGGTAGACACTATCGAACGGAATTGAACACAAATTAAACTACTACATTAAGCCCTATTCCAATTAATACTCGTCTACTTTTGAGACTCAACCATAAAATTAAAGTAAGCTCTCCGGCTAAAGGGAGTTGATAAAGCACGAACACAGATAACCACTGCCTAATAAGGAGATCGCAAACTTCAATGCTTCTTGCTACAGCACTTGTGCGAGTCGGAATATATGATCAATGCTTTAATGTTTTATGGATTTCCATAAAGGCAGTTAAAAATGCCAAACCTAATGCATCCCAATGCCCACGATGACTTTTGGGATAACGATGCTGAGAACAGACAGTGCAATAGTGCCCACTCTACCTTCCTGCTAGAGCTTGTTAGTTTGAGCATTCGAAATACTGCTCTTTAGAACTGTCACTTTCGACGTGAAAGACAGCCAGCACTCACCCCACAACCTTCTGACCTGACAAAAACGATTGATATGCGGTGGACACTTGCGTCCCAAAACCGTTTCATGGACGGATACAACGAGCGCACGAATGTGAGAAAACTGAACGAGGCGGTTTAAATGCAAGTCACTCCTTCTCTTCCGCTCCCTATAACCGAATTCCTGAAAAAGTCATGATGAAGGAATTGGGGAGCAGAAAAGAAATAGTTAGGTGGAAGAGTAAATATAGCCATAGTTTACATTACACGATGCGGTACTTGCAGTATTAATCACGTGAGAACAGAACCCGGTCATTTCAACTCCACCGAGCATGCTTTTCATAGTTTCTTCAAGTCACTCCTTGCTCTCAATCCCAACCACGGCAAGAAACCGTAAGTTTTCATTGGTATAAAATAATGGAACCACTTTTAAACAGAAATTAGTGTCTCGAATGGAAAGAAGGGACTGGTTCTGACAAATTATTCATAGCAAAGTCAGAGTGGTTAAGGGAAAGGAGGCGGTGCTCTCAGGTAAAAATCTCGGATTCAGAATTGACAGAAAACTTAGCACTTATGTTGTCAAAATGCAGTCAAATAATTACCGATGGCGAGTGAAAAACACAAATCACAAATGGAATGGTTAAGTATCGAGTCTTCCACGTTCAATTTGAATAGAAATGCCAAATATTAACGCACTCACAGCAATATTGTGCACGGAGGCCGCAAACCCTGGATAGGATGAGTCTAGGGTAGATGTCCTAGATTACTAACACAAAAGGGTCCCCGCGCCATATTCTCACTTACACTACAAAGGACAAGGACCCGCCATGCTGTTCTGACTCATTCGGATGCGAGGCTATGAGGTAGGTCGAGTTTAGCGATTGGAGTGTGGCAGCGTCGGGAGGAAAGAGGGACAGACCCGGTTCACCGTCAACAACAATGGGACCTACAAGGGTGTCTCTGTTGGAGGATAGGCTCAGACGAACCGGCAGTTCTAAGTGGAGGGACCTATAGAACTGTCAACCAAGCATTTTCAACATCAGCTCATTTTGGATTGACCACCACCACCACCTCGTCGAACGTATAACTAGTGCGTAAAATTCAGGTGTGTCCAAGAGAGCAATCGGAAACAAAAAGTACAGCCTAGTGGTATTTCCGAATCACAAAAGCTGTCAGTAATTGTGGAAACGACCAGAACAGATTTTGCTTACGATCGATGTCTGACAATTGCATTAAGAAAGTCCAAGCAAAGCCTCAATCCGAGTAGCCAGATAACGGCAAAAGATCAGGCGATTTACGTAAATGGGCTAATAGGAAGCGCTAAAAATAACTAGGAATGCTAAGGTGAAGCTTACACTGCCCTGAAAAATCAGCTTTCATGTCTTATTGAACCTTCTTAAGAGGGATCTGTCTACAATGAATTTTCACCATACTTCTCTTCTATGCAGTATAGAATTACTGGAGAAACCCTTGTTATACATAATTAAGTGTAAGAGTAGTAAACTTATAACCGCAAAACAATCACGCGGAAGAGAAGCACAGACTGTTCTAAACAGGGGAAAGAAAAGAAGGAAAACAAGTGCCTCTTCTGGCCTATCAGGGTCGGGAAGGATAACGCTTTAGTAGGAAAGCGCCTTCGAGGCAAGATTTGCAAAGCCTCAAAGAGTGGGTAATGCTAATCAAGCAGGTTTCTACGTAAGGTTGGTGATTCAATGCTTAGTACTACAAATGGCCAGCACAATTACTTTGATGGGATGGTCACGTGTGAAAGCATTAGCATCCCCATGAATGGAAGCCTATTTAACGGCCAATAGCCACCTACCATACCTCATTGACAGAAAAGCAGAACGCCAGTGGTAATTGCCATCGAACAGCACCACAAGAAGGGTGATATTGGCATCACAAGGTGGTAAATGTAACATTCCTATCGGAAAGAAATGTCTGAAGAGGAGAGCAATTTCAAATAAGTGTATTTTGAGAGGCTTGAATGCACGCAATCCGATGGCATTGAATGTGAATAAAGGGACTGGTGTCATAGTTTTTTTTTTCGATAAACGCAAAAGCTATGCAAAAATTACTGGTGAATGACATGACCTCCCTTGATTGAAATGAAAAGTCCAAGGAAAGGTGAAATAAAGGACCCCAACACTATTTTCATATTAAAGAATAACAAGAACTAGAACGACATTCGATCCGTCGCCATAGGATTCTGATTATCCATACCTTTTATGTTCCCTGCAATGTGACATGCACACTTTCATCGCAATAATTTCGCTGACCAGTCACAAAAGTATCAAATTTACACTATAGCCGTAGCGAAAATTGATGTTTTGGTGGAGATGCAAGATACCGTAACAAACCCCATCCGCCCGCGCAACTGAGAAAAAAGGACGGCAAAACAGGATGTGACCTTTGGTATCCCTTTGGAAGATTCACAGTTTAGAGGACCGTGAGAAGTACACCATAATTACCAGGATTGCAACTTCGCCTACACGCCACCATTATTGGCATAGACGACTGGGCAGGCACTACTATCTGCGCCTACACTCGTGTTTGCGCATCCGTCGCTGCTGTCAAAGCTGAAGGGGTGGAGAGAGGCAAGGTAGATTAAACCATTTGGATACTTATATTCCCGTCCCCCAGGTTCTCGTTAAAACTAGGCTTAATCTCACTTGAGCTGTGGTAGCAGCGTCAGTCACAAACACCCATCAAGACGGATCATCACAAAGTCATCTCCTGCGGGTCAAGAGGGCAGCGGTAAATCATTTGCCACACTGCCCTTTGATCTCACCGCCTGGAACACACATGCTGCACAATCATGTTGCCCTAATGACTGGGTTGCACCACTTCAAAGTGGGGTCACCCTCGCGTCCGCTTGTGTGTACGGGTGAAGTGGGTCGAGTAATTAGGGTGACCACGGCGTCGTTAATGATTCACAATACGAATTCAAAACAATGGTGCCCGGTTTTGTCTGAGTCTCAAGATTAACCACAGCATTTTGTGGCACAGCTTAAAAAGTGACAGCAGCTTAAGTTCCCCAACACGTAGTGAAACTTTAATGTCGGTTCTTTGATGTAACTAAACATACTGAAAAACGAAAACAGATAAGGCGTTACCCAGGATAGACAGGTAGACATTTCACTCATGAATTACCACTTCTGGCGTCGCCCAAATGGTAAACAGACTAAAGCGGACGAAGATCGTTACAACTGAGAACTGCTAGTTAAGCGGCTTCATCTATACCTGCTGCATATAGCAAATAATCGCGCTCGAAAACGTACTGCAGAATAACAACTCATATAAATAACAACACATTGAGCATCAAGCAGTTTGCATTTACAGTTTTAAGTGCAGACGGCGAAATAGACTTAAAATAAATGCCTAATATTAGCATCTCGATAGGTCATTTTTAAAGTCAAATCATGATATTGTGCAGCAAAGCACAGACGCCCAATTCAATTTACTGTGCAATTCATAGTGCTTCAATTTCATGCTGCCTAAATAATGTAACCGAAGAAAATTAATGGTACCTTGTGAGAAAGTGTCATTTTCAAAATGACTTGCTATCGGACTTATTAGGCTAGCTTACTTGCATTTGAGGAATATTTTACTTCCAACCGATGGTAACGATACACGATTTTGGTGTCATGAGAGAAAGCAATTCACTACAAAGTGACCCGAGCTAACTACCAGTTTGTAAAAGCACGGACGAAATTTTGCTTGTGCGGAGTGCAAAATCTGACTGACTCAATCAACCTGGTCTAGAATGGGAACTCATGGCATTTAATAATGCCAGAAAGGTAAGTAGTTTCACTCTCCCAGAAGTGCTACCGCTAAGCCATAAGACTTGAAAGTTCGCTTTACGGCATTAAAAAATGTCAAAATAGAGGGAGGCCACAATCCCGTTTTTACAAATGCTTACAATTATCCTTTTAACAACGAACAAATGGGAGAAAACAAGTGCTTCAAAAACACTACGGGCAATCCGGGTCTAGGGTAATGGTAACTGAAGTCGTTCACTTAATAGTTTGAAGGGTATGTGGCGGGAAACTATGCCACATGCTGTTACTGCATCGTAGAACCGAAAGTGTCGATCCCGACACGTGATGCGGAAGTCGGAAGAGGAAAGGCCATCGACGACTATGCATGGGGGAGGAAACGGAAGCAGTAGAGGCGGCACCAGTAGTGGTAGGAGCGGTGGCGATCAAAGACGGAGAGACCTCTGTGGCAGCTGACTAAACACACGTCACGTGACGGTTCTACCCGCCTGCCCGTCTCTTACCTGCATACCCTGAAATTCTACATGGCACATCCAAGCAACGCGGTATTGGTAGTTATGCTCTCCAGTTCATAGGTTGGTTTTTTAGTTGAATGAACAAATTTTCTGCCATGCCACGCATACTTCGGTTCGACACAGAGAATAGAACATCACACGCAGTCAGACGAAAATGGACGCTAGGCAGCAAAAGTTGATAAGTTTCATCAAATTAGAAAAGCTATAAGTCGAATAGGCAATGGGAATTGACACAGTGACCTCAGGGGGACTTGACATCAGGCTAGTCTCCACCTCGACACCTGTCATTCGGACACTTCAACTAGACGGATCAACTTTGGCTAAGTGAACAGAGTGAATAAGTGATAAAAAATAATTGTGTAAATGAGACAAATCCTTCCTGTCAGTTATTGTTTTTTAAATAATTCTAACAAGTATCTGAGGGTCTAGTGTAGAAAGCCGCTCCGCCTTGAGCGTAAAGGAGAACAGCACATCCAAACAAGCAAAATGTTTAGGTCATAAACTCTACAAGAGGGATTTCTCACACAGCCAACTTTAATAGGTTGTCAAAGAGGACTCCTGTTGAAACATTGTTTTCCTTCCATGATTACAGTGCTATTTAACTTGTGTAACTGCTTCTTCGCCGAGGCGCCTGACCGGAGTCTTACTTGGACCTGTTCCATGCCCGCCGCTTAATTTGCATAAAAACAGACGCACAATCACCACCGAGGCAAATGTAAATAAAAAATGGGAAAGAAGTTTCGCTGCTGGTAAGTCTGTGAGGTCAAAAGAAGCAAATATAACGCAAAATAAATGCAAAAACCGTAAGTGAAATGATTAATTGAGGCCCGCAATTAGCGGTCGCTGAGACAATGGTTAAACTCGACACACCGAGCTCACAAGATGTTGGAAAACCAGTGTATGGAAGCAACGGAAAAAGGCGACATCTAAAGTAACACCGAGTCAAAGAGAACAAGATATTCGCACAGATTATGAAGCCTCGCAAGTTCAAAACGAAACTGAATCTTCCTCGATGTGCACTTGCACAACATTTAAACACTTATTTACCTTTAAGATTCCACGCCCTTCAAGTGCAAGGCTGAGTTTGTGGTACAAAGAAGTACCTCAGAGTAGCAAAAACTGGGCCGCAAGAATATTACCCACCGTCACAAGCCACAGGGGCAGCCCATACGTCACCAGTGGCAACCAGTGTGCGCGCCTTTGCCATGCCTGAAGAGTCGGAGTTCATACGCACAGCTCGTCTGCTACCGGAACTGCCATTGGTGGGCGTCTCTGCGACATCCGCAAAATCGTCACCGAAGCTCCGAGTAGTACGGCGACGCCTGCGGTGTTGTGATTGTGAGCGACCACCAGCAGCAAGGCCCAGAGGGCCCGAGTTTGGGTCCTCATTTGTGAGGTCCTCACAGCCACTCTGAGACTTCGACGATCGATGCCCAATCGATCGCGAGACGCGCTGATGTAATACCGCCGCCTCCGAGTGCTGCGGGGGAACCCACTGCGGTAAATTGCCCGAAAAATCGATATCCGTGGGCGGCGCCACACGTTCCCAAGGTATCACCGATCGACCATCGACACCAGGCTTCGACTGCAGCAAGACCTTTGCCCTCTCCGAGTCGTCTTTCACCTTGGCGATAGGTGCAGCCTCAGACACCGGTGGCTGACCATCGAGGTCGGTTATTGGTGGCTGAACCGAAGTGAATTCAGCCTTGTTAGGAACAGGGTTGTGAGAAAGCATTTGCTGCCATTTTCAATTTCTCGCCACCTTATATCTTATAAATGAACGAACAAACTGAAGTAATCGAAGTGCTACTGCTTAAGAATGAAATCCTTGAACCAGATGTGGTAGACTCATAGAGCATCCATATAAAAGAACCAATCAATTATACGGGAGAAATTGACAAGCGAAACTTAGGGCTACTGAGTGGGTATTAAGTTGTAGCGTACGCCCATGATGTTTGTATGCAGAGAAAAGATTTACAAAAGAAACATGCACTATTAGTTCTTTAAATGCACTTTGTAGGCTGGAGGGGAGAAATCAAAGCCAATGTGGTGCTGAAGGAGCAGACAAACTCCTCAGGCGCAGGCAAGGATTAAGCACCTTCCCCGCTCCTAGTATGCGAACTACCCCCCTTCTCAAAGGCGTCAGACCCATAAGAGGGCTACTAATAGGGAAGTGGAAGAGTCCGACGAAGACGCTCCAGTACGCACCGTAATCCCAACCAGTTAGAGCTACAAATAAAATGGAAAAAAGTCTTCTCAGAAGTGACTACTGATGTTACTTCGACGAAACAGGTATAAGCAACTGACGTTTCGAACCGTTCACCTTGGATTTCATCGCGCGACACCTTCGTATTATTAACATGAAGAAACGTATGTGAATTTCGTGGTCAGCTTGTATCGCAATCCTCAATTATAATTAGCGTGAGTTATGCTCTTTAACACCATTGCTCTGGATGTAACAAATAACCTCGACCTAAGCCAAGCTTCATTGAAAAAATAGCACACAACACACCCTGTAATCGAAGTTTCCAGGATGTATTCGTCTGTTACTACTTAATGGTAATAAAAACCTATCACACCTACCGCCAATCTAGTTTCTAGTGCATTGTATGCACAAGATAAATCAGTTGTCACGCTTTTTGATCGCAGTGTCGCAGAAGGAGAGTCAGTGCAAGCGTATGTCAGCATCACACAGTGGAGAATCGTCAGTGGTCACGAAAAAAATCTGACATTCGCTAATAATTGTCGCCATTATTGGTGGCCAAACAGATTCTTCGGAGAGGGATAGCTAATCATATAAGTGAACTTGTGAACAATAGGTTATTGAAACCCGAAAGCTGACCTACAATGAGTTCACCAACCAATTATAAGAACCGAAATTAATGCTAAAATTCATCACAACAATGTTTCCCAGTTAAAGAACCAACAAAATAAGTACAATCAGGCATCCGAGAGAAAGGCTACATAAATCAGGAGACTTTTTCTGCTGGATTCATACACACATGAGCAGAGCAGTGCCAGCGAGGAATGGAAAATGGATGAATCCTGCGGTTACATTTGAGGCAGTTTTGCAATCAACCCAACTACCTTGAAATAACGGTGGTTGAAAATCACAAACCAGAAGTGCAACATCCGGTATGTATGCACAATGACGAGATTAGTGACGCAATCTTGCCTTCATTTATATTGCTCGAACATCAGTTGGACCTTCTTTGAAGCATCTAACGTTTACACCAGCATAAACAAGGAATAATTTATTGTGAGAATTGTTCAGAAGCAGTATTATTAGCCATACGTGGAATAAGGCTTTGTGATCGTTTGATAACTACAGTTCCTAAAAAAACTTTTCTTAACTTCGATCCGAGACAAAGAGGTTGAAAGCCAGACAAATCGCTCCGAAATAATATGCACTTATCGGTAAAAAGTTGAAAAGCAGAACTAACAGTTAGCCCGAAACAGTTCCGAAGTCAAATTTTCAGTCCCGAAACATCTGAGACCGATAAAGGCTCGCTTCAACTTTTATGTGCAAGCAGCGAAACAAAGGTGCCTGGAATATAAAAACAAAATACCGAACACTCCTTCAATGTTCAAGCGACAGCCTTAAAAAGTGGTCAGTGGATCAGCCTAAGACTTTGAAAATTCGACTTAACCTATGCATTAAAAGTGGATACAGACGCTACTTGACCCTCCAAATGGGTCGATTTGAAACCATTTGTTCGCAGGCTTCTATGAATATGAAACAAACTATGCATATTTAACTGCACTATTATCGGAAAGAACATTGAATGTGCAGTGCACAGGAAACAACAGTGACGCTTCTGAATAGCAATTTGTTTGACTGAGCAATATTGAACACTTCCTCGGTGGGGTGGTGAGAGAACCCAACACCGCTTATTCAAATGGCAGCACTATGCGTAAATTAGATCTGATTCGATGGTAAAGTAGTGGCAAAACACGTAAATATTACACATTTTTAGTTCAAACCTTTTCACCAAATCGTAGAGCTGTAATGAAGAGGGAACCGAAATGTAATAGTTCTATTGGAATACGTGGGAGCATCGAACAAGGCACGCCCAAATAAATTTCATCCAACTAAGATTACAAATAAAACCAGCATCGACAATAGTTTATAAATGCTTACATGAATGTCAAGCATTAAAGGCCCCTACGAAAGAGTTATGCAGCATCAAACCCCAGTGACATCCCAACACCCACTATACCGGAAGCAAAAATCTGACGCAATGTTAATGTCTGAAACAAGAGCCGGTTTGTGAGACTCAAACTTATCGCTAGGATGATCAAGTTGATACCAGTACTCCAGTGTCACATACACCCATCACTTGACGAAAAACGAGGTTGAAGGCTTACCAAAACGTGGAGGATTATTTTCGGCTAAATGAGCCGAAAATGTAGCCATAGATGAAAAGGTCTTTTTTTACATAATCTTCACCAACATCATTCAACAAATGTTGATTTAACCTTTTAAAAACGTGGTCGGCTTCAGAAAAGGAAATTGGCTCATTTAGGCAGCAGTTGCAACAATTTTTTAATGCTGTAGAGTAAAGTCAAATGCATTAATGCACTGATGACGGAAATTGAAAGTCGTTTGCTCATCCGTAATTCCACCCATCCGTGTAAGGGCAAGAGGTGCAATGCCATCGTCAAGACCGACTTACATCGGTAAGCGTGGTAATCGAGGTTTTGGGATCCCTTGGTGGGATGGCTGGGGGGGAAGGAGGTTGCTCTGTCGGGAGGTCGGTCACAGGAGGTGGGGGAGGCAGATTGAGAAGAAAACTTGGAACCGGGGTTCGTCCACTCCCATTCACTGAAGTATTTTCCTGTGATGGTGATGTTGGTGAAAGAGGGGGTAGTGTGATTGCATCACCAGGATCCACTTTAGCCTCTTTTTGATCATCATCCAATTCAAATGATCGACGGTGCTCGTGATAGCGACCTGGCTGGCTGTCCACCATTTCGTCGGCGTGCATTGAGAGATGAAGTGGCGTAGGAGGTGGAGGTGGAAACCAATTAGCGTTGTTGAGGGGAGTTGGAGTTGCCACACCATCAGCTGGATCGGTTTCGGCAGGAAGGAAAACAGTATCGCCCTTGCCAGTAGGGGTGGCTTTAAATTTGTTGTCCTGAAGCCAGAATAAATCGGAATTAACTAACGTAATTCATTATCGGGTTACATTTTGAAGGCAAGGTAACCACTTCCATAACCTTCTCAAAATTGAAACTCATCCGAGTGGCCGATTTCATTCACTATAGATTCAGTATCAAAACTTCACTAGCTAAACGGGTAAAAAAAACTGGTTATGGAATGATGTGACGGTACTACTATATTTATGGTTTTGAATCGAAAGAGTGGATCAACAAAAGGTTATTTTAATATGCACGATCCACAAGTCGACTCAAAATATAAATGTCAATGGCGACGCATCAATGCTGAAATATTTCCAAGATAGAAGGTCACCAAAGTAAGAAGCTGGGAATGATTACGACGAAGTGGGAAAATTCTGGAGGCAGGAAGAAAATATGCTTTTAAGAACGACTCCTATCTCGAGAGATGACGATCTTGAATTGAAGGAACTTACATTCCATTAGTCTTGGATACTTTAGTATCCACAGGAATCTATGATATATGAAGCCAGAAGTTGTATGAGTTATGGTAGCAATCTGCATTACCGCCCATATTCAGCTTAGATTGCTGGTTGGAGGACTACCGCGGTTAAAAAAAGGGTTTGCAGACGGTCTAAAAAGCCCAATTCTCGCGTAGTGAACCTCAAAAAGACGCAACTGTTGACACATTTGAAAAAGCGATGAATTATTTATCCACTTACTCCTTAATTAGCTAGCGCAGTATGGTCTTTAAACAATTTCTCCTCGATATTCAACAAGCATTACGATTAGTATTAAGTGTTAAGCCAGTTCTTCAATAATACCTCAACGCCATCAACAAAGAGCCTTTCAAGATCAGCCACCTCTGAGGAGAGCCACTGGCTTTTCCTGATTTCACATGCAAAAAATGGTTAGTACGCAAAACAAATTACACCTACTAAATGTGACAGACTAGTATGGAGCCGGGTTACCGCACGCACGAGAACGCGCATTTCAGCGGTAGTCTGAGACGGGTAACCAGGTCATGGTGTGGCTAAGCTCACAGACGAAATTTTGCAATCAAAAGTCCCTCTTTTGATAACATCGAATTACCAGTCAGACTAACTCAAAATAGCAGTACAATACAATCTAAGGGAACACGCCAAACCCCTCCTATTGCCTTTGGCTTAAGTTCAACTGACGGCTGTGATGGCTCTACCGAGGAGTAGGTAGTGGATATTCAAGCACCTGTTTACCTCATTGAGTGGAGCAGCTGTTTGCGTTTAAATCACCACACTAAGAGCTTTTATGTATATTCTCACTCACAGTAACATTCAAATGGGCGGAGAACAACTAACTAAGAATGGAAATAAAGAATACCAGTAAAAAGTTAATCGCTTTCTACTTGTTATAATTAAACATAAAATTAACGAGGTGTGGTAATAAAAATCTTTCAGGCAGCAATAGATATGTTGCCTTATAACGCGCTCAAAATCGTGACAGAAACTGTAGTTACCAGGCTACTGTCAAGCCCTTTGTCAACATGGCAAAGTAAACGCCCAGCTTATAAAAAAAACCAAAAGAAGAGCGGTTGTTAACGCAGAAGAGGTGGACCTACGTGCTACTGCTAACCAGCACCACTAAAGAGCATAAAAATATGGGACTCACCGATTGACTGGCTGCATGCGGTGCAGACGATGTGAACGTTGAGATGGTAGCATTGACGGGGGTGATAGATGCAGTCACTACCTTACCGACATCAGAATCGGTGACAGTAGTGGAACTGAGTGCCACGGCTTTAGCTGAGGAGGGGGGAGAGGTGAGCGAGCAGGTGCTCTCACAAGTGGCTGCACCATCTGGGGGGCCCCGACCTCCATGTTGGCGCTGTTGCTGTGCCGACTCGGAGGTTTGAAGACCGAAATGCGCCAAGCGAATGTCCCACGCGTCGTCATAGAAGGGTCCGCTACCCCTCAACGAGACCAATTTCTGGCCGACCTTTTCGAGGGCTGCAGAATTCTGCGTCGTGGCTGAAACGATGTCCACGAACCGTTTCATAACTCAATGACAGCAATAACTTTCATCAGATGTCATGTTTTTACGCCAATTTGATATTCAGAACATTAACAAAGGGATTTGGAAATCCCATGAGGCTTATTTACGGCTTCAAACTGATGATCGCACCATCATCATAGGAGCGAAAATAAACTTTTATTGACCGCAGCTAGCGTCGTGAAAGTCTTCCCATATTGATCATGCCCGGTGGACCCAATTAACATAGGGAGCGATTCGAATACAAAAGTTAAAGTGTCTGCTGATTGCTTACATAATCGAACTTGAGCTTTGAAAGGTTGAAGATAGAAAAACACGTCTTATTCATGATTCCAACAGAAAAGTCAGATGTTGGAGGCAGCTTTATAGGACCTGAGCTTGCTGAATGCATACACGGTTGTCACAAAATTTGAGCTCGGTAAGAAAAGTAGCAAATGAAGACAGATCAAATAACCGATAAACTACAGTGAGTGAAATCATGATGTAAAAATCCCCTCTAGGACCCCTACAAAGCAGCAAAGCTCAATCAGGTTAGAATATCCCAATCCTAATACATGAGTTTTCAAATGTGATTTAAGCTGCATCCCTATTCCCACTTTCCATAAATATCCATTGCTGGTACGCTTTTCGTATGGTATCCATTTACGGTTCAAGTGATTCAAAGTACACGAAATAACGTGAGGACACGCTTAAAGTGTGCATGAATTCAGACAAATTAACAATTCAAGTGTTCACACCACTTCTAAATCACAAAATGCAATCAAATAGGTGCAGGTTGTTCACACGAGATCTGGAATGCAGTTGAAGATTTGTCTTTTTTAGCCGTACATGAGAAATAACCGCTCCATGAGAGCCAGTCACGTCTACGTACAACTACACATCAAATTGACGAGGGAACTATCCCTAGTCTGATTCCCAAAAATTCGCTGAAGTTGTGAAACGGCACAGTTGCGTAGACAACATTCTTCATTTACTTAGCGTTTTCCCGACCAGTCTGGCAGCGCGATGCCACGTGGTTTGGCTAAGAGTACCCAAGGGGGTTCAAATATCACATAGGCTGGATAAATTCAATAAAATACTATTTGTATGAAAGGATTGAGGCAATTAGTTGATACAAACCACGCAACATGGAACATGGGGGGTTCGAGAAACAACGAGCAAATTTCTAATCGCTTGACCGTTACGAAACCGTGTGCGAAACCAGTAAATAGGGATGTAGGAGGGGTAGTAAGAAGGCATAAACTGGCGAAGCGAATTGTAATAGATGGAGATTAAGAGGAGGGCAATGAACAAAACAAAGTGGCACTACATTGCCCCACACTAACAAAGTATGATTGTGAGTCACAGACCTCCTGACTGTTTTCTGAATGATGCCAGATTTTGACAGCCCCAAGTTTCCTAATAACAGTGGCCGTCATTCTTTCAGTCGATGCTGTTATGCTAACATAACCGGACTCATTCATAGTTGTCTATCTGGTTATGCAGAGGAGACGATTGGCTAAAGTAACAATTCGATCTAACACACATGCACACAAAAGCAGACTGCAGCACTATTAATCAAACCCAGGAGTTTTTAATCACGCTGGAACGAATGAGGCATTTTAAACGACGAGGCAATGAGGAATGGGCATATGGAATGGTGCATTGAGGGGAGAATTTCGTAGGTCTGCTGATAGGAGGAATGTGTGTACGCAGCTGTTTCAGTCCATGTTTGATATGAAGTGGATAAGTGCATACAAACATGGTGTTGGAGGAAGAGTGAAATCGAAGCGGTGGTTTATAAAAATGAGCATTGGAAACACTTGTACTTGAGTAAAGTACGGGCATTATGAAGGTGAAATTACGGCAGAACTGGAAGGAAATGAATAAGTACTCAGATTATGGAAAGGAGACTATAAACTTGACGCGTATGTGGTTGAGGACGAATCTTATGCCAAAGTTCCCAAGCAATATCAAATGGACAGAAGTGAGGCGAGAAAAAGAGCACCCAGACACGCCTACGACAACCAAGCAATCGGTGCGAGGTTAAAGGCAATTTCCCAAAGAACACGAGGAGTAGAACGTTCATGTTGGAAAAACCCCAACCACTAAAGCGAACAAGCGATTCCGACAAAACTCAACTCCGAACAGAAATTCGAATTTTATGTGAACGACCTCTCTAACAATTTAAATCACTTCAGCCAGTCCAATCGTGCAGTTTTACCTTTACTTTGAATTTACATTGAAGATATAATCAGAATGAAGCAAGCAGCAAAACGATAGAAAGACTTTTGACAAAGCAGAGACTAAGTACATATCCTCCCAACGTTAATTTTGATCACTGAAATAAAAGAGCCTCGAAAATCAAGAAGACAATGGTTTCCGAATTGAAGATGAATACATGCTGTGCCACAATCAAAACTGGAGGTAGATAGAAGGTGCAAGGGGTGATTTAAGACTAATAAGGCTGCCAGCTAGGCTAACAACAGACTTCCGGTGTAGCAATAATAAATTTTAAATTTTACTTGATAAAGTACTCTCCTCATATACTGAAAATAGAAAGGTCGGATGAACAAGAATCAGAGCCACTACATAATGGCGACCTGCGACAGTAACGCTAGGATATTGCCACATTATTCACTCCAAGTGAAATGTGAAAACAATAATGGGTTTCACTGAAGAGTTGCCTTACGATTTACTCCATTGCAAAGAGAACAAGGACGTCAGCAATTTTTGTCGTAAAACACCCGACAAGGCACATAGACAATTTGTCCGAACGAGGAAAAGGACTAAAAACAAAATGTGAATCCCTAGACTGATCTGTCACCAAAATGGCCGCATTACAATCATAGATGTCAAGGTTCAAAGGCAGAAGTTACAGTTTTAGAAGAGAATGAAAGTGAACCACTGGTGATACTTCAGAAGTTAAAAAGAGTGAGGAAGGAGCAATTGTAAAATAGACTTACTGGAGATTGAGTATTCAACTGTTGTCTCTGAGGGTAAAGCCGCACCTGCAATATGCCAATTCGTCAGTTGAGAAGGTAGCGTTAGCTTCAACATTTTGCCTCTTAAATATTTTACCACTTGTCAAATCTATAGAATTAGCTGACTGGACAAATTCAAATAAAGTGCAATTTAGAATACACCGGAGATGACCAAACATTTCACATTACTTGAATGTAACAAACGTTAGTCCAAAAATCTGCCAGGAATTTCTTCATTCTACTGTCGCAGGTTCAATAAGGCGCCCTCTTAAAAATATTCAGCCTCTTCGCTCACTTAAAGGGAGCAGAGTTGCACCAAATGGAAAGCAGAGAAAGCCTGAAACAATAATTACACCGCTTTTATGTTGTAGCTCATTTACGAACAGCCAATGAATGACATAGGCTGTCACCGAATAGATAACAAGGAGACCACCCGAAATATTCTTTGAGGAAAGGAGCGAATGACATTAGGTGAGTGGGTGGTGCAACACGTCCTGACCTCGACTTTTCTCAAGAATGAGGAGGATCTCTAAACAACATACTTGCTACCTAAGAGGCAGGAGAGTGGAAAAGGCAACAGGCACATGCACACGCACAAGCAAGTTCAGCGGAGAAACGGATAAGTACACTGCCTCGGAAAGTGGATGTGATGGGGATGAGAAGAGGAACTTCCTCGAGAACTGTGTTAATGTAGAAAAGTCAACTAAACTGAATGATGCTATAAGGTCCGTTAACGTCAAAAACCGATTTTTGGAAGAAATAATGGCTTATTGTAATGAGCTATGACGTATTTTGCCTAGCAAAAGCGCCCCTTCCTGCTGAAACCTTTCCTTTTAGATATCACACTTGAAAGAAGCCAATCCTTAAAAGAATCCGTAAACAGAGGCTAAAGATAACACTGCACCATTTTTCTATCAATAACTGAAAATAATTTTAGTTCAACCCACATGATTAACATGTTTTACTACAGGTATGCACATAAAACACCCGAACTCCCGCTTCACCAGTACACATGAAAATCCACATAAAGGCGGTGGAATAAACACAAGCATTTTACGTTGAAGTAATAAAACGCAGCATAAATTTACGCCTTGGATGTTGATGGGGCAGAAAAGGGATATCTACATTCCCAACTCGACTGAATGCCAGTCGAACAGGTTGTTGTCAGAACATCACGAGGGAGCCAGCAAAATTGATGCATCAAAGCAAATCGAAAGGCCGATTCAATGAACCTATTTATGAGAAATAAGTCCTACAATCATATCATCATCGCGTGATTAATGTGATCAAGCTAGCCATTAAGATGTGAAGAGTAACTTGTCCAATCATAAAAAAATAAATCGAGAACCAGAGAGCAGAAAAGACTAGTTTTGAAGACGCAGATCAAATCAAACTTGATAATTCACCCATTAGGCAGGCAAGCGTGCGTGCATTGAAGAGCCCATAAACGGTTCCAACCGTGTTTCACGGACACTTAGGTTTACGACAGTGGGCAGAAAAAGTAAGCAAGCATTTAAGGAGGCATGCACACAGAGGTCTGAAAACAGTCATCAACAATGGCGAGCGTACCCATTCGTAATAATGATTACGTGTCTGAAGTGCCTCCACGCGCCGACCTGCCCCACAAATGGCATTGCACCTACACATCCATTAACCTATTGGGTTTGCCGTTCTATTACATAGGCAAAACGAATAAACAACCACCATCACCGAAAGAAATGGAGTTCCTCCACACCTCAGTCGTAGTGACTGCTTCGCGAGCTTTATTTAACTCTCAAATTAGACGTGGCTAAAGTGAAAGGACAGGGTTTAATTTCAACTAAAGGCAAACATAGCTCCAATAAAAAGTCAAGAGGCGTGCATAATGCAAAGGTGATCGGCTCCGATGTTGTGTGCACCAAATAAAATAAAACGTCAACTCTACTCAGCCTCATGAAATCCGACCAGCTTTGTGGTGGGTGACATAGATCTGATGCAAGGATAAATGAAGGGTAGACAATGTAAGGAATCCGGACCATTGATAAACTACAATGAACATGGATAAATTTGAATCCATGCGCTATTTACAGCAGCTGACATTGATGTGATGGTTGGGAATCTTTTTAGACCCATATTAGCCTCTGAAGTAAAAAAGTGCTTGAATCCACGATACTGATGCATACCCTACCACTAAATTTGATAACAGAAAATAATAAGAGTTGTCACTTTCTTCAAAGATTACAAAAGAAGTTTCGTAGCTTTTGAAAGGATAGATTTAAGCATCAACAGTAGATTGTAACTAAAGGTAAAACGTTTGAGCTTTGAAGTCACATAAAGATAGTTGGGAATATTCCTAAATCACTACCTTTGGTGATTCGAGCAGGCGGAGGCGGAGGGTTCTTCGCTACCTTTATTTTGCGTGATTCAAAGAAGCGACTGACGTTACTGGCAAAATCTGATTTTGAGGTCTTAGGAGCAGATCCATCGGTTAGGTCTCTGAGCGGGCCTCCAACTGCATTGCTTTGGGCGGTGCTATGAAAGTTGAAAATATCCACCATTACCTACAGATCGGCATTTATGAACGCTTGAAGTAAACATTCGAAGGTAAACAAAAGACAAGCAAAGTTAGCGAAGGATGGAATACGACTATCACAATGACATTGATGTAAGTTACCTCGAGGAAGGTTAAAACATGTCACTGAGATGAGAGTACGGTGTGTGGCGATGAACGATTTATGAGCTGAACAAATTGGGTCTAATGAAAGCAGAAGATGCACCCAAAGAAAGAACCACTGACATAAGTGTTTGTGGTTTCCAAGGTAAAGCAACTGATAGGACTATTTTTTTTCGGAAGGTTGTGGACATTTTCCGAAAAAAACTACAAACCTGAGACAGTAGAGCAAACTTCAGAGCAGAAAAAAGATCTGAAGGAGTAGCAAAACCAGTTCCAAAACAAGTACTACATAGCCTTTCGTTCCTTAGAAAACAAAACATATTCCAAAGTACATACGAAAAGGAAATTTTTGTTTTTGAACGGGACCAAGGAGATTTCAAAGGGGATTAATGTAAATCTGAAGGTGTTCCAAGATTGTCTGGAAGGCATTTCATTTTTGACTACTCCTTAACACTATTAAAGTGTTTGATACATGGAGATTTGGTGCCAAAGTTATGACTAACTTCATCACCTAAATGCTCCAATTTTCCAACACTTTTGGGTGTATTTTTCGATCGTCCGTGTCACTTGTTGGAATCACAAGACTAGGTTCTAAGCTAATGAAGTTGTTGGGGAAAAGCAAAGCGAACTGATAGGAATAGATTTAGAACACCCTTAAACACATTATTGAAATAATCGCCCATAGCTATGGTTCATTCTAGAATAAACCCCATTGGGAATTAAAATATCTCAGAATAGTGGGGAGAGTGTGGAGATGAAAAGGGGGAATAAAGTAATTCCTATATTCTGCTCTCCCTCCTCACTTGCCACCTAGCGCTTTTCCTGAGGTCCAAGGTGTTAGTTGGGCTTGGGTCCGATCAAATCCAATATAAGTAACCAGAACAAATTGAATATTAAAATTTTGAAGCTAAGTGAGAGCAATAAAGCTGAAGCTATTGACATCAAACGAAATTTGGCTGGACCAAAAATACCCATAATTGCAAATAAAAGTAACTTTGGTCTTGAAAATCGGTGATAAGATTAAGACTACCTCCACAAACAACCATTCGTTAAACTGAGTCGATGTTCTGCCCGGTTCGGAGAGTAACTACGATTTCTAGAGTAATATGGGCACGGGAACCCGCTGGTTTATCGACAGGGCAAAACGACAGCACCCTGCCCACCAAGGATGCAGAGACATAGGTGGATTTGAAGGGATTATGGTACTGTGTAAGTGAGGTCATCAGCATGTTTGAATTTATTCAATGTGTGGGGTTGCCATTTGTACCATATACTACCCAACTTGGGTCCTGAAACGCGAAAATGTTGAAATGATTAAACTTTAACAATGCAACATGTGGAAGTAGATGACAAGTAGTATAGGTACTTTAAAGTCACGCATTCATCCCATTCTCTATCCATAATTTGTGATGTAGTGTAAATACTCGGACTAGACATCGTGCGTTATCAAAGGTCTGGTTTGCTTAATACACATTCAAGGTGGTACTAGACTATCACAATTACGAAGCATAGTCACTGGTAGACTAAACCTTATGTAGCACACACTATTAAAACACTAGTCCAACTTTTGTCAAGCACGCTTTAGAGGATACGTGGTGTTATTAAGTTCAAAACTAGTGAATGCATATAAGAGCACATCAAAATCAAAATCTCAAGAAGACACATATACACTAAAGCTTGATGAAATAGCAGAATTTGAAAGTGACGGTGAATCATCGGGGGACAGATGGTGGATTGCATGAGAAAGTGTAAATGAGGAACTGAAACTAATTGCTAGAGCGAAGAAAGAATCCTGGTTGTTTATGTTGAATGTGTAGTTCGATACCACAGAGACTGCAGGTGAGTCACACTTTCACCTGCTTTTCTAGAGTTGATAAAATACTAGCAATTTCCAAGAAAATATTTGGCCCGAACAAACCTGAGTGAGGACTCATTTCAACAAATCAGCAACCGCACAACTGCGTAGCAATATGGACGCAAACGAAAGGCTACCGTACTGCAGTAATTGAAAGGTGACAGATTTCTCGAAGTGTGCGAGAATTGGACTTATTAAATTAGACCAATGCAGTCGCGACGTGAGACTATGCGGCAAGATCAGACTACGGAAAGAACAAACTACGGGTTAGCGGTGTAAAAAATGATTATTTCCAAGCACTTAGCACTTAGATCCTGTAGCACTACAGTTTAATGCAGACAAAAATTGGCCCTATAAATCGAACAAAGTCCACCTTGATAGGCAACTCAGAAACTGGAGAGGTGCAAACGCTTATCCAACTGAGTGATGTGATATTGTTCAGGTTGTAAGCTCCTGCGAGGAACATCAACTGAAAATATATGACTCTATCAAAGACAGCGCAGTTAGTACAGAGTGAGAAATGTCAGCATCAAATTATGGGCACATCAGATATTCCTCCAGCTAGCTGAATCGTCTCCCCTCTTTATGATCGCAGGAAAACATTTGTTTAGCAAAAAAAAACGCCCTAAGTTACACTACTTTAGCATTTGACTCACGTTGATCTACTGATTTGAAACAGAGCATTCGAACCCCACTCAGTGGATGCCTCTGAGTCTTCTTACAAATTGGATCAAGGGGCAAAGAACTAAGAAATGAGCTTCAGTTAGTGAAAGACCGAAATGAAGGTTAGTGTTAACCCTCCAAATGCATGATGATGCAAGTGCCAGTCACTAAATGCACATTACAATGCAGGTAACTGGTCAAATCGGCAATAAGAAAGGCTTAGCACCAAAAAAGTCAGGGCTACAGAACGACTGCTGAAATACTCGTATTGGAGGACACTTGTTTTATCATGATCATTATTTACCCTACTGCCAACCCATGAAAATTTAGACAGGAAAAATATTATGCACGTCATGAAAGTCTCACAACTTCTCTGCTTGTCAACACGCATTACCGATGCCAAATCCCGTATTTAACACTCAAAAAAGGTGTTTCAGTGCAAGAGAGGAATAAAATCACCTCAACTAGCAGATTTGTATATGATTTGAAATGTTCAATTACCAATTATGCAATAAATAAGGTTGAGACCAAAATACGGCATCTACCCTCCAAAAAAGCTAATCACACCTCTGGTGGGGAGCACCAACACAGGAAACGTGAGGAAACATAGTTGTGCAGGCATGGAGTAAATCAGTAATTTGAGCAGATCCGTTATCGTTAGTTTTGGAAAAATACTCATCAAATACCAGGCTCAAGAACCAACAGGAAAAGAAGAGTAGGCAAACATGGCCAAAAAACTCATCGCGAACATAAGGTCTAGAGACTTACATAGGTGTCGATGCCATATCTCTGAAGCAAAGTTAGGGTAAGTATCCACCGCAAGTGGCTGAAAACAAGGATAGACATTTTAGCTAAGCATTTAAAAAATAGAAAGCCGGTGGAAGATACCAGTTATCAATAGTAATGGTGCTGTAACTACCACCATCTCATTAACAAAAAAATTGTCTTCAAATTCTGAAGGCAACTTTTGCACATAATGTGCAGTAAAAGGAGGGTGCAAGGGGAATGGACGAGGAATACTCGGTGAATTTCAGGAAACTTGACGCTACAAAGTTAACCCACAAGAGTCGACTCAACATTTAGACTGTAACTGCATTCCTAAGGTTAGATCAATAAGTATTGTGAAAAAAATGATGTAAAAAACATCGAGCAAGCAAAGAAAGAAGCTAAATTTATTTTAAACAGGCAAACTTCAAAGGAGGATCGTTAATGATAAATCAGCAATGCAATGAACGTTCCGAAGACCCTCATGGAGTACGCAAGCGACAATGACCCCACAATCACCTGTATTGCGAACTACGCAGAAAGCAAGGTCATAATTTTATTTAACTTATCAAAACAAATTTGGTGCCTTTGCGAAATTTAATAGCATTTGAATTTTAGCATTTTTCTTGTAAACACCTTATTAGCAACAAAATTTAAAAATTTTCCGCGATGCTTACTTTGTTTCACACAAGAGACGCTCTTATAAAGCTTACATGAGCTACCGAATTTGCTTAAATTGCGTACTCCTAGTAAGAGACGATGTTGAAAAAATTAACACAGTATGTAAATTCAAATAAAAGACTGGGCGCAGCCAAGGGTACGTCTGCAATACGTAATACTGCTCTTAATTGTCAGTACAGGTTGCTGCTGATTCATTATCCAAGACCTTCCTGCGTAGAGGCCCTAGACTACCCACCAGGTAGAAGAAGGCATTAAGTTGGGCTGACTACATGCATTCTAGGAGGCGAAGAAGGACTCGAAGCCCAACAGACGCGTCTAAGGACGAGACTAATACCAAAGGAAATGGTGGACATCAGGTTGTCATCTAAATGAAGTATTATGTGTTGGGATGCGTGTATGTTTCACCTAAATCTATCATAATGCTCGGTTCTTGGGATCAGTGGTCTTGAAATTCTGCTCACTTCGATTTTCGTCTCACATTTGTAAAAAACACCATCACCATCGAGGATTAAATCTGCTGAAGATGGTACTTTACTTCTCACTATTTTGGCGTTGAGAACCGAGAATCGTCCAGTGCTTTTTTGCCCCCACGGAACCGAAATTTTAATTTCTGTGAGTAAAGTGCCACCCCATTTGTACTTTAGTTTTATAAAAGTATGTCAAGTACAGCTGTTGCACTTATTATTAGATATTCAGTGTATTTTGTAAATTTTAGCCCACTGCTCAAACTAATAGTTAGTTTCAAGGAGGAGAGCATTGCGCACTACTTAGCATCTTCATTTTGAACTTAATACCACAGAGTTCTTGAATGGTCAGCGAAGCACGCCTGTGTGCATAATTAAAGCTTTCCAGTGTCAATTAATCTTGACGAAAAGTAACTTTACCTTGTGGATAAAGATTATGCAACAAAGAGCTCGTATTACAAACTTCGAAGACCATGAAACAAGTATGTGTTATCTTTTCTTGTAGTATGAGACAACGCAAATGCACCATTGTAAAATGTATAGCCAGATTAAGGAAAGGTGTCACACTTTTTGTACACTTTACAATACAAATGCTTGGTTAGTGAAGCGTCATTGCTAACTTTACTCTCACTGTTATGGCCAACACCAAGTCCACTCATGTAGCATACAACTGGGAAATTCACATCTGGTCTCCATCTTTACCACATCCCCCCTCCTCGTTTTCCATTGGTTCCGCAGTTGTGTCGCATGACAGGTTTCTATTGTGTCCGAATTTACGTAACACATGCATTCATATTGCCAAAAAGACTACTGCGCAAATGACTCAAAATCTTGAACAGGGTCCCTCAGAGGCAAGGGATTCAGAACTGACATCCTCAAATACGGACGGACTCATTATAGGCGGGAGCATTGTTGGCGGAAGTATTACCATTTTGGTACTGATCATCTGCTGCTGCTGTAGTGTGCGCTCGCGGAAGTCAAGCAATGCAAAAGTACTGAAGCCTGTAAACAAACAGACTGGCGGTAGGATGGAGCTGGGTGTGGCGGAAGAGGCTGTTTGTAAAACGGTGACTGACGAAGCGATAAAAAAAGGTGGGAGCCGTGAAGCTGAAGCCGCTTCTGAGTTACCTGAAAAGAAAGTTCGATTCTCCTTTGAGGATGATAAGAAGACGACAACTAATAGCTCTGTAGTCATGATGGCTGCGCCTGTTGCCAAACCAACTACAAATTTGCCCCCCTATGCCAGGATTCGAGAAGGTGTGACCTCGCTGTTTTATTCAATTGGAACACCATAGCAAGTAAATATCTTTGAGTCGACAAAATACGATATTTTTTCATCCCATGCCATACTTAACTATGCATGTTTATGCGTATTTACCATTTCACGCCAACAACATCATTGTTAATAAACTCATCATTTAACTTTATGATGAGATTTCTTACTAGCTGTTGGTCAAAGGATGAATGAGACTCCACTGTCTTAAAAGAGCTTTTGGTTGTCGCCACTTCTCTTTCAATTGAACGAAGGGTGGTACTCTTGAAGAAACTTAATTCTTGTTGAAAATATAACTGGAGCGCAATTTCTCTATTTTTTTTTGTATGTTGGCTTATACGCATGTGGTTTAGTTTGCAGATTTTAAGGCATTTTGATCAGCACTGTATACTTGCCGTCGATTGACGTGTTGCTGGTGAAATGCCAACCTTAACTAAAGTAAAGTTTAATACAAACAACGAACCAAATTAAGTCTTACATCGTTTAAAATGCATGCACTTTGTTCGTCCTCATTTGGCAGCACATTTCACAAATAACGTAGACGTAAATTCTTTGGCAAAATATGCAGTGACGACTCGCAGAAGGCTTTGGGACTACTAACATGGCCTGGAGAACCTCCCGTTTGACAATGATGTAGCGACGTGACCCGAAGTGATTGAATAAGAAGTACAATTAATACATTAACATAATAACTAAGGGCGCTAATGTCAACACTTTCGTTACATGCACGCTGTTTTGGTTTGGGTGGAGGGTAAATTAGTTTCAATCATTTAACCCGAGATTTTCGAAGGTGAGTGATTGCGTTAAAAGCAAAAATGAAGGCGCATCTTTAGTCATCGGTTTTCTTTGATGCCCAAAGGCTATTTAGCCTGGTGAACGTTGATGTTTTAGAATCCCAAGCTCTTACCAAATCTACAGCGTTGAGGTTTAGAGTTAAATGATTCAAGTCTATACAAGTTGTATGGGAGGACATCACTCGAGGATTTTATTCAGAACAATTAGCATTAAAAGTAGTTTTAGCCTATTTGTAACGGTATGATGAGCAGAAAAGCTTTACTACCGTTAGGCTAAACAATGTCAAAGAGCATTTTCACTAAACGGAATGGCATTGTTTAACTTCACTTTTGGTCTTACTACAGCGGTAGTGAAGGCGTCTTCAATCCTCTCTGTGTTTGCCAACTGTTCACTCCCCTGTCTAAGCTCAAACCGTTAAGAACTTTTTCACCCCAATTAGCTTCTTACCTTAAAACATCAGGACTGCGCTTTATTACATTTATCCACTTAGTTGACTGCATTTTAACAAGGCAAACGTACCAAAGTGAAGCAAATAGTGGCATGCGTCGTCAATGGCGTCTCAATTCGTCCAATAGTCGCGGAAGACTTTGCCCGCTACTTCTCCGCCTAAAACAGTGAATGGTGATTGTTTCCCATCTGCGTGTTCTCACTCTGCCTCGATCCTTTTGTCATTTTGTATAGTACACTTATAAGTTAATCTTTCTTTTGCACAATCATTCAATAACACCACCTAATCAGCCTGCGAGGCACCAAATTTGGGATTGGGAAACACCTTGCATTGACAAGAGGCGGAAAAAGCTCTGCAAATATTTTCTCAGTAATCCCGAGAGGAGGGCTAAGCATCTAGCTGCATTGCGAGAATTTACCAATAAGATCTTTTGATGGTTTAAGGTAAAGGATGCACAGGAAGGTGAGCATGCGCCACATCACTCCGTTTCAAGCCTTGCAGGTAAAGCTAGAACCCTTTTGCAGCATTCTGAACAACTACTCAGTTAGTAATGCCATAATAGCATCAAAATTCTACGGTGGAGGAAGCGTTGAGTAGCAGGATCAGGGCAGTTTTCATTCATGGCATTGCAAGCACACAGTTATTGTCTTGCGGTTGGACCACATTTCACCAGAACCTCCTTTGGTTGGTCCAAATGCTGTGTTTTTTAGTACAGCCTGGGGTCTGATTTCGCATATTATGAGGCATTTCTCGGAAGTTGGAGAGAAATTCCGGTTGGGATTTGCTTGAATAGCCGCATGTAATGCTTCTTTACAACATGTAATTAAGAAAAACGAGACACAATGGTCACTCACAACAGCATGAATGAATACAAAAAAGGTGGGTTATGCTTGATTGCATCAGTTGGGAGGGAAATGGCCAGTAAATACGGGCCTCTCCATTGCATTATGACGACTTCATAAAGGAAGTCATCCTCGTTCAGATCGTCTACCTGTTAAAGGAGTACGAAAACAGAGGTGAAAGGGAAATGCCGATCGTTTTACGCTATTTTAAAGCGTCGGTAGCTGGTTTTACCTTCAGTATCGATAGCAGCCACTTAGTGGATCCGTCTTGATGCGCCTTCGAGGCCGAGTGACTGCTGAATCATTCCAGTTGCCAAAAGCCCTTTTGTTTGCCAAGTACCATATATTTCGGTGCTCAATGCTTGCAATTACCAACAAGTACTGTTTGCAACTGAAAAAAGTCTACAAGTATATTTGGACAAACGCTATGTTTACTGGTTTTAACATCACTTGACTTTGCATTTTTAAAATCTCTTTGATTGCCACCAAAGGTGCTGACGTTACATAATGGCTTTTTGGAGGTGGTGAATCGGGAACATGAAGCCTTCTTCCACCTAAATTGTACAAAGTTGCTAAATTTCCTAACAAGTTTGGAGGTACCCAAAGCAATTTGCCTCACATGGTGCTGCATGAGGATATAATTTTGAATAAATTATAAAGCATAATCACTTCATAACTTGGCCTTTATACCCCTCATGATGAAATATAATGTGCCATTAAACACACAAAAATTGACGGCTTTAATTCCTGTGCTTCTGTAAAATTAATAAGGGTCTCCAACATCAAATCTATTTTAGTAAAGTACGTAAGCGTAGAATCTAAGTAGAGTTATTAATGTATAATATTAGGGTCAAGCGACACTCATGGGCACTCCGATAGGTGGTACGCAAGAGACTGCGGAGGGTTGCGCCTTGGTGACTCTCGTTCGCAGCCGAGTGCATCCATTTTGCCACCTTTTACTTGCCTAACGCATAATGCTGTCTGTCAACTCAAATAAACATCCTTTTAAACATTATTCGCTTGCTAATGTGGTTGACTCTCTTTTAAGCGGATTTCTCCTACTCACCGTCGGCTAATATTAAGGATTATTCCAAAAAACTTGCGGCAAATTCGACACTAAGCCAAAGCAACTTTGTCAACACAACCTATTTAACTTTCCACAAACATAAAGCATTCAAATAAGTGACTTGAATTTGTCCACTAACAATGGATGAAGAGGACAGTGTTCTCCTTCTTCCTGAACGAACTACACACTTATTCCTTATTAACGCACTTCCCAAGGCAACGCAGCTGATTTGGCAACTATCAAAGCGGAATTGACATGAAAAGTATTCTTGCTTGCACTGCGGTCACACAAATCATTTGTGTTCTCAACGCATGCACTAAAAACGGGATGTGGCTTGCAACCGCATGCCGCTCCCAATTTCGAACAACAAGAACAAAAGCACTGCAGAAACGGAATGAATGTACGAAATCTTAACAATTACATAAAACTCTGACCATCTCATTGGGAGCGCCACTTAACCCTCTAAATTAGTTGGTTGTTGTTGATGGTTGGTTCCTTGCCAGGATGAGCTGGCTTTTGGACCGCGTTCAGAGCATAAGCTCTACTGAACATCGAATGACGTCAGCTTCCCTCTTCGAAGAGGTGCCTGAGGGCTACAATGATGACGGCCGAAAGTGAACCTGCTTTATGGAGCTGGAAAACAAATCCTAGCGCGATGAAAGAAGTGCGATTGGGTGCAGGTAGGAGAACTTGTGAGGCTCCCTAATAGCAGGGTTTAGCTCCGTTTTAATGCATAAAGCGACTATGATCGTAATCCATCCGGAAAAGATTCATTAGAGGAATATTGACTGCGTCTCAAATTTCTTGTCAGATGTATCAAAATTGTGTGGATTTGGCTGAGTTAAAATGAAGTTATAAGAGGTATTCGAGAAATGGTCAGCACATTCATCTTAGCACAGTCTGCATAAAAGAATGCAAACGTAGATGTGGACGTCATCCAATCTTCGTAGAAATGCAATTACTGTCACGATTGGCTCGTAACTGCAGCCTTGCACCACTGATTTTATTCACTTAGGAAAGCACTGGCGATGATTTATTTGTTTGTTCAATCCGCTATCTTGACTAATTCGCAACTTGGGTGCTGTACCATCACACCTTCCTCGAGGTGGGTCGGCGTCTAGGATAGATCTACTATTATAGACCATTTCGGCTATTGCAGATCCACAGTACAGCACATCCTCGACACATTTACGACTGCCGTCGCGAGCTGACAAGCCCAGAATCGTGTGTAAACCCAAAAACTTTAATTCAAACGTTTCTAACATAAGTCACAGTAATATTATTTATTGCTCTTTTGAAGCTTAAGACCAGTAAATGGCTAATGAGACCATTTCAATTAAGTTATTTTGTTTGATGAGTTGTGCATCATCGAAAAGTGGCAATAAGCCTTGGAAGGTCAGTACTTGCATGGTGCTTTTTATCAAACGTTTCGATAACAATTAACACTTTAAATATCGGAATCGTTCTGGAATGGTTTGGTCGAATTGAGCAATTGTTTTGTATATCTTCTTTTTCCATGCCGAATGACTGTCACCACCGGTAACAATTGCAAGGAAAAATTCCAGAAGGGCTCTTTCTATTACTGCGAAGAATTCTGCTGGAGTCTAAAGAATTCAAACATCGGGGGTAAGCACGCGCACATTCCTCCTTTTTACCAAAAAAGAGCCCCTTTTAAAAACTAGGATAATGTGAGAGAGGGCTATGATATGCGGAATCAAGGAACTTGTTAGTTAATGAAATTAGGTACTTTTGATAACTAAATGGAGAAAACGAAGTCAATGATCAGAGTTTTGGTGTCCAAATTTCCAAGTTCACACTTTAAAAAAGGAGCAAAAAGGAAGTGCACTAAGGTGTTTGATAGTTATGAAATCTTTTGTCCCGGCTATTGCCGCATGGGACAAAAGTCAACACTAACCTCGCACTCCATGCTGCGATTGTAGTGAAAGATGAGGGTTCTGTAGAGCCCTAATTTTGGTATAACTTGGATGATTTTAGGCGATCGCACGCCTTCTGCAACAAGCGAACGTGCGCATCTTTCAATGTTGATATAGAAAAATTCGCTGCAAAATCAAGTAACATGTGAATAAGCGCAGCATCAATGCATGCATTACTTTTAATATTAAGTAGCAAATCACAAAATCAGTTATGAATGGATTTGGGAGGAGGTAATGATCTTCCCGTCGCTGAGTTGATGGGACACACGGACACAAGAACATCCACAGGAGAGTTGACTGTTGTCCTAGCTTACCGGAAGTTGCTGAACCATTTGATCAGCTGGGCTGTATTGTAGCGACTAAACGTTACCTCTGGAAAGAAGTGTTTGAGGTAGGCAGAACTGGGGTAACGTGCGTAGAGGAACATCAGTTTTGCCTTTCGTAGATGCTGACCGTTCAGAACTTCGCCCTGCATTCACGCGCAATTGTGAGCACGCATAATAAAATTTTTCACTGTCCTAAGTAATCACCGAATATCCTTGCATCACTGCTTTTAGCTTTCATGGTTATTTTACGGAAAAGAAAAGTGTTTAATCTGCCAAGACCTTACATTTAAATTACTGTATTCTGTAGAGGAAAGATTAGATAGCGTATTTTTTTAGAAATATTGCCATTATTTATGTGAATAAAGTTCTCACTTTGAAAATGCTATGCGACTAAAGTTCTGTTCGGGGTTTTGGAATGCAACATATTCCCTATTGCCTTTTAGAGACACCTCTACTTGTCTGCTGTAACAAAGTACAGATATGCTTATAACCAAAAGTTCATATTTTCATAATGCTCCTTTCAAATAAACGAAAAAGAGGCGACTGTAGTTGACCTACCTTAAGAATGTGTTGAAGAGCAGAAATCCTCGGAACCGCCATAAGGCTCACAGATTTAGCATTATGGAAGCTCAAATTCATGGGTTCTTCAAGAAGGAGGTTATCTAATCTTTTTGGAGGCGCATGCGGTTCTTTGTGGGACACGTTATTTTGCCGCTTCCATATACTTGCTTTACCTATGCCATTTTCAGACAAACGGTTTTCAATCTGTTGCATACTAAGTTCCAGGGTCTTGGAGCAAAAGTCATCTCCTTGCCCTGCCTCTAATTCCTGATTCCAAGTCAAACTTCGTGATCCACCCTCAATCCAAGACCGCAATGGCATCCCAGCTTGCATCAGCATTGGACTGTTTAAGAGCAAAGATGGAGGTGGGACAACATAGACAGCTTTTAGCGGACTCATGCAGAACTGTAGGCGGTTGCTAAGTTTGGATGGAGCTGCGATCTCTGATTCAACAGACGTGCACTGATCTGGTGCGGAGACAGTAAGTAGCTTCACGTTCCCAAAAAAAGTCATGGCTGTAATCTTCCCCTAAGGGCACAAGTTTGCGCAGTTATTTCGACGAACTTTTTTAAAATCACAAGCAGTCAACAATGTATATGGCACTCCTTCTCCATCACTTATTCCCACCTGTTTCTTATTTCATATCATACGCGCGTTGAATATTATATACAATTTTGAAATGGAGTAAAGTGTACGGTCGGTCTTGCCTAATGCTGACATGATAGGTTTTTAACTAGAAATTACCATAGAAATACAAAATAATTGCTGAAAGCAACAGATAATCTGACGGTCAAACTCACCTGCGTAAACGACTAAGTGGTATGGGCTGTGAGGAGTGTGTGATGCCACCCATTCATATGGAGTTCAGTGTCGGCCCATGGAGTTCGACCATTGGGTGCGTGGATTTTGCCACCGTTAAGGTGGTGGTAGGAAGCTGCGAAGGTGGACCCACGTATGTGGTTCCACCGCTATGGGAGAAGTGAGGAGGAAAAAGGGGAGAAGGTTGAGGAGACTGCGCGCTTGTCTGAGGGTAAAATGCTGGTAATCCATTTGCTCAAAAACACATTGGGAGTTTCCTTGAATGGGTTTCAATTTTGCACATGATTTACCTTCCTACTTTACAATGGACGGTATTTTTATAAGCTTACTGACTCAAAAAATGTATTCACTCCAGCTCTGGTACTTTATGATGAAAAGCTCTAAATTTACTTTCGAGAACAAATGGAAGTTTGGCGTGACTGAGGACGCTAGTTTAGCTCATAACAACTCAAACAAGTATAAAAATGGCGAAAAATCTCTCATCCCCATTGATACTGCACTAAAGTAACGAAAAAGCAAATATGAAATAAGCAATTCCATTGTAAAGTGCTGCAGTACTCAAATATTTTTAAAGCCTTGGTGGACAGGCTCGAGAGCCGTTTTGAAAGTTCTATTGCAACTCCATTTAAAATCTACACAATGCACAAACGTCGTGCAGGCTTATCGATGAAAGCGCAAAGTTGCATGTTGAATGGATAAAGCTGCAGGACCACACATAGAGTGACCTCGATTTACTCAGTGTTCTTCACCATGCGCATTACGCTTTGCTTTATTTACCACGTTACCCTGATTCAGGTCTCAAGACGACCCGATTTTTATGACTTCTTGTGGGCAGTCCTTTCACCACACTTTATTTAGGTGGTGGTGCCCATTTGCTTAAAGCATCAGTCACAACTCACCGTTCACATGCCTTTAGTGCTAGCAGGTTAAGCGTCTTGGTTGCAGGGACAGCTACTTGCCCTCTTGAGTGCGGAGCCGCATTCCTCCACTCTCAGTGGTTCGGAAGCCACGTGACCCACCGGATGAGTGGAATTCTCTCCATTTCCTGCAATTGCAACAGGAAGGCTGCAGAGGTTTAAAAAATGATGCAGTCGTGTTTGTAGTGTCGTTGTGCACGTTAGGATTAATGAGGTCCAACTTTAGCAATTATGTTAAAATAGTTGTGGTATGTAAAATAGTTTACTCCTGTCAGTTTTAGTAAAACTTGCAACTTTCCTTAAACATCACTATCTGAGCCTGCTAATGCCCTTTTCACTCTAGCTTTGACGTGGAAAAGAGGTCTAGTAGAGTTGTTACTAAATGTACAGGCGACTTTGCGTAATGCAACAATAAAATGGAGCCATGGCAGAAGCTACTTCAAAGAGACGATAGAGATGCAGCAAGCGTTGGCTATTTGTTAACGTCATTGTCTAATGCAGCACATGTAGGCACGAGACGTTAGTAGTGTCTAACTATGTCTGACATCATTGCCTCTTAAGCCGTCCTTTGTTCAGATCGGACATGGTCATGCCGTCCCTTCCCCCATTTCTCCTAACTTCCCACTCCGATTTATCCGCACCATCAGCGTGCAGTGGGCCAACCCGCATCATTGCTTAGGTGAGGGCCACAAGGAGGAGTAAAAACTGGTGCCCCCATCTGGTGCGTGTCAAACCTGTCGTCCAATGCGGTATCTCTAGTCCCCAGCAGGACTTACGCATTTGTCAACCAAATTCTTTTCAAAAGCAGAAGTGCATCAACTGTCTAAAACAAAAAAAAGTTTGGTAGGAGAGAAGTTGATATCAAGAGATGACTAAAAATGATAGCTGAAAGCGAATTGATGGAAGGAAATGAAGTGAGAGAATTTGGGAGAAATGACTTAGACTATTTAAACGTTTCATGTTAAGGTTTCATAAACGACTATTTACGTTCTGGCAATAATTCTTCGTGACTTACAATTAAGTGAACAAACAGTAAGGAATTTGCTTAATTCTTTGGGTCCATTCTAGAAAAAATTGGCTGAAAGGGCAGTAAGAAGGAATGTCGAAAATAAATGGAATGCCTCTCCCCGTGATGTGCGTTCGGAAAGGTAACACTAACTTTGCGCGCGCACTATAATTAGAAGGCTAAATTTTATGGACCCCACCAAAGCTCCACTGAGCCGTCTGGACCTCGAAGAGGCGGTTAACCTCACCTTAACGAAGGTGCATTAAAGTGACACTTTCAGCTACTGTTTTGCATAATTGAAGTACATTTTTGTGACCACTGAAGCTAATTCGTAGAGAGGCGCTGGACAACTAGTTAGACGAAAGCGACAGCTGACAAATCGTCAGATAAAACCTCCTTAAGCAGCGCATATCATGAAACATCAGTAGTTGTAAAAAATTACGTCTAACTGGAAGATCTATTCTGTTAAGGAATGGTAGCGGTGAGGTTGTTAAAAACAATACGAGGGCTACTCTCACAGTTGACATTTTGCAAGGGAGGAGTGCAAATTCAGAGTTAGGGGAGGTGAAGAAACTTTGAGGTCAGTCATAAATCGCAGTTCATGCAGGATATCAGGAACACGGGGCAGTGAGTATTTTTAGACAATTGAATTAGTGACATATTCTTCATCCTGGCTACCCTTTTCTTGGTTTCATCAGAAGGAGATGCACCTTGTATGGTTCTGCGCTGGCTACACGAAAGAGTGATACCTAAAAGAAGCACGTGCACGAACGCAAAAATCTACGAGGCAGGATAAACACTCACAAACAAGGGATGCAATTTTACCCAATCGTTTTCTAAAAAGAAAAGTTGATGTTTGTGTGATTTGCCCTTCTCGAGGGATACCCGCCGTTTGTCTTGGATGGCAAATGCGCAAATCTGCTAATGGTTTGAACTAATTCGCTTCCACTTCGTGAAGGTAGGAGGTGCATTTTGAACGACGTACATCAATGGACTGGCGAAAAGTCCTATGGGTGTCAGTAAGGAAAAAATTCGATGAAATATATTCTGCCAAATAGCCATGAACTCAATTGCATCTTGGGGGAAAGTGACATTTCTGAGATCAGCACCAAGAAGTGCTATGAACCATCCAACGTGGAGAGATCAAGATTGTGAGAAAATGGAGGCTTTCCTACAGCCAATAACCCTCATACCAGCAAATTAAAGCATCTATGAAGAAGCAGAAAATTTGAACTATTTCATTTGGCATCACAAAGCAATTTGCTTTCCAAAAAGTTGATCAGACCCTAAATTTAGCAAAAGAGGATCAGCAAATTGGAGGAAATACTGTGTCCATCTTTTGACGGAGTCCTCCGAATGTTCATCCTATTGCAAAAGTGTTAAAAGCAAATGTTCGCCACGTTCAGGACGTACCCATTCCGTAAGAAATTATTATCATGTGTTTGTAATTTGTGGTGAGGGTTCCACAGCAAGATTCACGCGCAGCATCAGCGCATCTTTAAATCAAACATTGTAGAGACATTTATAACCTGTGTACTTCGTCATTTGCAGAGATGCGAAAAAAACTAGTTTTGAAAATGCCACTGAATGGATGATGAACCTGTCCTTCTTTTACTCGGATTTCCCAGGCAAAATTCCGCCTTTCATCCACACAAACACTTGCGACTTGCCAAAATTTCCGAAGAGGAAAGAAGGGGTAGGCTATGCGATGCTGACACAGAGGAGTAACTGGGAGCTCTAACTCGCTCCAAAGGCAAGAACACCTGTGAACGGTGGAGCTCTTAGGTGGCCATTGAGCATCGCAACTGAGAACCCGACACCAAACCAACGTGTCAAATACCGATGTCAATGAAGGGTTCGTTGAAGCGTCTTAGCGCGAACGACTGCCTGACGAGGGATTTGAGGAAAGCTTAAATTAAAGTGCGTGCTTTGTGAGACTTATTAATGGAAGCGACACATAAGTGATTGTCCATTTTAGTTGCCAAGTGCCTTTGCCCACCTGTTTTCCAAGTAGTTGCTGATAGTAAAAATTCAAATGGGTAATTCGCATTGTGAGGAAGGGATGTGGAGCTGCAGTGAATCGCAGGCGGATGACAATGAAGTTCCGGTAACCTCAAGGCTGACTTCCTTTTAAAATGAAGACGGGTGGGGTCATAAACAGCTCAGGATGTGACTTTGATGTGACAGCAATAGTCCGCCAAATGGATTTAAGAGTGTTCTTTTTTTGACAATCGTGTGCAATCTCTCAAAAGATTATCCACTTAACCCCTGACTTTTATGACTTTTAAAGTTTAATAAAGTAGAAACTTACAAGGAACCTCAAAAATCATATGTTCTCAGCTTTACATTTGGCACACATGACCTAAACGGTTGTTCTACTGCCATTAATAGGTATGAAAAGCAAATTGAAATACAATGAATGGGAGATGGTAAAAATGTTGTAGAAGTGAATAACTGCTGTCATCACAGAAGGTGTTAATACAATTGTGATGTTGATATCATTCATGACTTAGCAACCCCACTTTCCGACGGTTAACGATTGTTGATGGGGGAGATAAGGCCATCCTCAGGTTCAGGCACCTCACTTCTGCCTCAACTTACTTTTGCATAGAATAAAGTGGTGGGAGTCAATTCCCTACTTTCTGGAGTTTACTTCATCAGCTAGTGCACAGACAGACACACATTCAGCTTCGACTCCACTCCGTTTGTGGGCAGTCGTTTACAAAACAAATGATTTTAGCTTTTAGCACTCATACAGTGCCTATGGCAAA